CACACACACGCATGCACGCACGCACACATGCACATGCACGCACATGCATAAGCATGTACACAAAGTAAACTTCTAATAGTGTTCTCAGCAAAATATTTAGTCGATGCTATCTCTGTCTGGGGAAGGACCCTCAGTCAACCTGGGTGATGTGGGCAGCTTTTCCATGTCCCAGGCAAACCCTTTTCCCTCTTTATTTCCCGGGTTTCCTTGCTTCACGAGTGTTTAGAATGAGTTGTACCCACCAAGTCCACTTCTGAGCACAGCGTGTGTGCTCTTGGACAGAGACTCTGTCCTTGGGACTCAACCCTGGTGCCAGCACAGGGCATGGAGGTTAAGGACAAACTAGTGGGTGAATGGCCACCCAACTCCTCCTGGCGTTTGGTTGAAGCAGGGTGAGCTTGTATCTTGCACCTGGTCCTGGTTCCACCATTCTGTTTGTGTCATTTCCTGTGGGTTGTCACTGAGGTCCTTCCCAACTCTGGGAAGCAGGCTTTGCCCTGGGTTGTGGGCTTCAGCCCTCAGAAGCAGCTAGAGCATCACACACTAATTTTTTCCTGGACTTGAGTTCCCCTCTTCCCCATCAGATTCCTTCCCAGGCCTCATTGTGGGACGGCATTGAGCTCGTTCTTCCAGACTGCAAGGCTTCCTGTCTAGCTGGGGCACAGCTATTATCCCTGGAGAGGGGAGTCCTGTGCTTTCCACTGAGCAACTCAGCTGCCTTTTCTCTCTGTCGATGTGAGAGGGTCTGAATTGCCCATAATTCCCGGCAGCTGGCCTCAGTCTGCACGGCTGTTTGCGGGTATATGGTTCTTTTGTTCCCTTGTTTTTCTTTTTAAGTAAACATTTTCTTTTGAGTTCTGGACGAGCATCATCTGCAGAAACAGAGAGGAAGAAACAGCCCCTTCTTGAAAATTTCTGGGTCAGACACTGTAGCTGCTGGCTGGGAAATGAGACTGCCACCCAGGAAGGCTTAGTAGGGTAAAGAAAGGAGGCTTCATTTGAGTCTGAATTCCCTTTCTCTGCTGTGTGATCTTGGGAAATCTCTTACCTTCTCTGGGCACATTTTTACCATCCGCAAGGGTAGGATTGAGCTTGATTAAGGGTTTGCAGTAAAAAACAAAATATTGGAGCCCTCACTGAAATTAAGATAAATCAGGTGTGACTGCTGATTTTGTGGGTTAAAACAGCCACTAGCATACACCCAGCTCAAGGTTTCTCGGCCTTAGCACTGAGGATCTTTTGTTCCTGAGAGTCATGGGAGGATGGGGAACAGTGCTCACAGTGACTGATGAGAACCTGAGAAAATATTCAGACATTGACAGATACCCCATAGTGGGCAACATAACCTCTTCAGAGCACAACTCAAGCTAATCAAACTGCTAAAAGATGAGGGTTCAAGGAGCAATGGGTTTTTCTTGGCTCACTCTCTGGGGCCTTCTGCTAAACCAGGGTTTTGGAAGACAGAGTTTAAAAACTGGTATATTCAGAGTTTCAGTTCTTCTCAGCTTGAAACTTCTCTGTGGTTCCAGGATCCTATGTGTTCCTCAGCTCTTGGCTGCGGGATAAAATGCTTGAAAAAGTCAACCTAAAGATGAAAGGCTGGGCTCATGTGGCAAAGGTTTTAGTCCATGGTTGTTTGGCTCTGTTGTTTCTGTCTCCAGATCTGTAATGAGGTGGGGAGTCACGGTGGTGATGAAGCAAGGGAGCTAGAAGGGGTAGGGGGAGAGGAGGGGAGAGGGAAGAGAGGGAAGGGAGAGGGAGGGAGAGAGAGAGAGGGAGAAGGAGAGGGAGAGGGAGGGAGAGAAGAGAGAGAAGAGAAAGAGAGAGGGAGAGAGGGAGAGAAGAGAGAGAAGAGAAAGAGAGAGGGAGAGAGGGAGAGAAGGAGGGAGGGAGGGAGGGAGGGAGGGAGAGAGAGAGAGAGAGAGAGAGAGAGAGAGAGACAGTCCTTTTAGGGGAACATCCCCAGATATTTATTCCATTCAACTAGGTCTTACCTTCTGAATGTCCATTACCACCCAATAGTCCATCAATTTATGAATCCGTTACACTAATGAAGCTAGATTGTCCATGGTGCAATAAGTTCCTAATACCCCCACCTCTGAATATTGCAGCGTTGGCCATAGACTTCAACACACCAGCCTTTAGTATACTTTGTATCTAAGCCATAATGCCTCCCGTTAGATAGGGATTGAAACATACTTTCTTGCTTTCTGTGGCCCTGAGACCTCTGTGTTTTGAAGTGGAAGAGGTCAAAGAAAATGATCTGTATCCTCAAGGCTGTGGGAGCTTCCTACTAAAGAGGCCTGACTCTATTGCTCCAGTAGCTACTAGTAAGAAGGTGCAACGTAAGCTCGGATTTTCTGGGTTTCTGCTCTAGATTGAATCTGGAACGCTACTTCAAAGCTTGGTTTCCTCCAACCTGTGGGTGGTGGAACCTTTAAGAAGTGGGGCATAGTAGGATATCTTTAAACTACCGGGGGTGTGTCCTCCAAGGAGACTGTTGGACGATGGCCTCTGCATGAAAATGAGGCCACGACTACGCCACGGAATGGGCGTGGATAAGGGTTTTGTTGTAGATATGAGGGAGAGAACAGTCAGAGGCATCTGGAAGAGTCCAGGGCAGGGGGAGGAAGAAACATGGCCTGCAGACCGAACTGGGCCATGAGAAGAGAGAGGGAGGAAGAGAAGAGAGGAAGAGAAGAGAGGAGAGAGGGCAAGCAGACCAAGAGGAACCGAGGGAGGGTCAAGTGCACAAAGAGAAGAGAGATCAGGAAGAAAGAGAGAGCTCATGGCCAAGCTGGGTTTTATAAGAATCCTAAGCTGGGGGAAGGGAAGGGAAGGCCCTGGGCTGGTGGGGGTCAGGGTATGGCAGCCGGGATGACTCTGTGAGAGGCACTTGCTGAGAGAGGCTGGAAGTGGGCACGTGCCTGGACAGGCTAAAAGGCCATTGTTCTGAGTTTCTTGGGAATCTAACAATCCCTCTTTCTTTCTGAGTCGATGGCTATATCTCAGGTCGCTTGTTTTACCTCATGCTCCCACCATGATGTATCCACTTGTTACAGGCCGCAAAGCAACCAGACCAACTCATGGGGAGCTGGGAAACCTCCCAAACTGCAACTCAACACCAACGTTCCCTCTCCTAAAGTCAGTTGTCTCAGGCATATTGTTACAGTAATTAATAGTCAACTACACATTCACCTCAGCTTAGCTGCCTTTTCTTTGTGTGCCCTGAACTTGGCCAAATTTCATTTGTTTACCACAACATGTCACCTGTTCAAGTTACCTGCACACGCACGAACCCCCTGTTCTGAATTTAGATCAGGTAATCTTTATGTCTCGCTTTCTTCGTATCCTTCCTACCTCGACCTAGTTCTACATATAAGCCATTTGGTGAAGTTAATGGGGTGTCAGTCCTTTCCAGGAATGGACAGACAAATAATATGTTGCTATATGATAATACATTCCCTATTATTCCTTCTATACATGGCCATTTCTCATCCAGCTCGCTGTCATCTTGTAGTCATTGCTGCAGAGAAGAATGGCTCAGCATAAAAGAGCAAAACTGAGAGTCAGTCAGTTCTAGAATTTCTGAGGTCTCAAAGCCTTAGACTCCAGAAGAGTAGAGAAGTCTCTTTTGGGTGGGTTGTTTCGAGACAGGGTTTCTTCTCGGTGTATCCCTGGCTGTCCAGAAATTTGCTCTGTAGACCAGGCTGGCCTCAAACTCACAGAGATCACCTGCCCCTGCCTCCGGAGTGCTAGGATTAAAGGCATGCGCCCCCCCGCCCCCCGGCTGATTAGAAAAGTCTTATGCTCATAAACGTTAACAAGTTTGTGATTCTAGGTTGCCCAATGCTGTTTTTGTGTGTGTCTTGACAGCTCCCTTGCACCAAATCCATTGTAGTGAAAACAGCACATAGAGTTCTCTAGGAGGACCTCTGCCCAAAGTCAAGACCAGAAACAAAGAAGCCCAGAGCAGCAAGTAGGGATGGCGTCATAGGCTTGGAGCTGAAACCAAGTGGCAGTGTCAGGAAATTCAACCCATGGCGTGGTGTCATGTGCCTGATGTAAAAATTGTTTTGAGTTGGAGAAGAATAGGGCCCTGTTTGCGGGGTTCCTGAGTTTGTGGACCAGAATTCCCACACACGCCTATGCTAAGCCTCTGTAGCACAGCTGTTATCTTAGACCAATCCCCTTTTGACTGGTTCTTTCTCAGTGAAAATCAGAGGGTTCACCCAGACTGATGGAGCGCTTGCACTGCCAGCTGACAGTGTTTTCAGGACTTTGTCCTGAGTGGGATTTTGGCCATTTGATGACTACAAAGGACTAACAAAACCTATTAGCCAATGTTGGGGAAATGTCCAGGCAAGCATCGGTAGGACAAGCTGGAGCCCTGTTGATCTGTGATTGACAGTGAACGAAGGCAGACATGGCCCTGACATCCATCAACCTGAATATATGGCCAAAGAGTTGACTATTTTTCATCTATACCAATAAGTAGTCATCAGAACTAGTTAGAAACAGGACTGTTAACTCATCCTTCGGTAGGTTATTGAAATTTAATTAACTCTAGGAAGTGGAAAAGTCGAGCTCAAGGGTTGGTTATTAGCACTGAGTTTGACCTTGAATAAACTTTATATACCTTTTCTGAATTTTAGATTATTTCTTTTTAGAAGGAAAGTATCACAATAAGAGAGCTACCCATGAGGGATCTTGTAAAGGTGAACAGTACTGAACAGGACTTAGCCTCTCATGTCTACTTGATAAATAATAAGCAAGATTGTTTGAGAAAACTCCAACTTATTCTAGGGCAGAGGATCTTGTTTGGTGTTTTATGTACTCCTGAAAACTGTATGATCCAGAGTCATTAATATTATTTTATGTATTTAATTAGATTGAATTATTCAGTTCTGTTCAGATCTTTATCTTTAGTGACTTCCTTTGCTTATTTGATTATGTGGATGGTTTTGTTTAAACTTGTGCCTGTTTTCTCTTTGCCCAAGGTCAGAAGTGTTTGCTTCACAATACGGAGGCTGTGCTGTTAGGATTGCTATGGGGTCCGGTCCTACTTAGATCCAGGAGTGTACTTGTATGAATTCCGACAAGTAAGTGTAGATAATACCTATTTTAATTGCATAGACTTTCTTCTTCCTGTCATTTCCCCTAAAAATAAAGTAGCCCAATTACTTATAAGAAATTTTCATGGTGTTGAGCATTATCTATAACTTAGAGATGACTTAAATAGAAGAGTGTGCACAGATTCTATGCAGATACTATACCATTTTATCTGATGGACTTGAGAGTCTCCCTCTCTTCCTCCTTCCCTCCCTCCCTTCCTCTCTCCCTCCTTTCCTCCCTCTCTCTTTCTCTCATGAAACCAAGTCCCCAGACACAAAGGTAGGAATTTATATTTTGGTAATATTTCTTCTTTTAAAATCTACTCTCCCAAGTACACTGCAAGATTACACTCTTCAATTGCTGTTTGTAGGTGACTTTCACTAAATGCATTTACCAATATTAACAGATAGAGAGAGGCTCAAGCCTACATTTTTTTTGTTGCTGGTTCTGTATTTTTCTTATGTCTTATCTTTTCTATTCCTCCTTTCCTTATCAAAATTAACTATTTCTTAGGATTTTTGGAGAGTTCTACTATTTAGTTTACCACCTTCATAAGATAAGAAACTTTCAGGATGAACACGCTGTTAGACTGTAGCTACCAATTGTTAAACAATGACATTCATCACCGATTTTAATCACTTGTGTCAGCTATCTTTGTTTGGGTCAGAAATTTATCAATTTCCTCTTCAAAGAGTCAGCTTTGGGATCCATCTCCATTAGCACCTAGCTATTTTTCTGTCCATCATAGTTAACATCTCATTATTTTTCGATTCTCTACTAATATCTTTCCACTCTATTATCATCTTCTTTTTGCCTTGGATTTACTGTGGTTTTTCTCCTGGTTCTGACATAGACGATCAGGTACTGCTGTGAGAATTTTTTATTATGGGCATTTCTGTTTATAAATGCCACCCCAGCACTGCTTCTGCATCACACATAATAAGCTGCGGTGTGTTGCATCTTTGTTATTATTTGTCTCAAAATACTTGCTAGTTCCCACTCATATTTTTCTTTGGCCTACTGGTCGTTTGATGCATTCTACATGCTTGTAAAGTTTGTGTGTTTCTTTTGTTACTTATTTCTAGGTTCGTTTCATTGTGGTAGTTGATGTGATTTCCAACTGCCTAAATTCTCTGAAATCTATTTTGTTGCCTAACATGTGGTAAACCCCAGGGAATTTTCCATGTTCACTTGAGAATAATGTAGAGTCAGCTATTCTAAAAATGTATGTAATGTGTGTATTCATTCGTTCATCCTTTGGAAATGAGATCTTGACAGGTAGTTCACACCATCCTCAAACTCTTGATCTTCAGGCCCTTAAGATGGCTGAGAGGGGCAAAGTGTTTGCTGTGCTAACCTGATGACTTGGATTTGATCCCTAGACCCATTCCACAAAGAGACAACCAACTCCTGGAAGCTGTCAGCTGACTCCCACCTGCCTGCTGTGGTGTGTGTGTGTGTGCCTGCTGTGGTGTGTTCCTGCTGTGGTGTGTGTGTGTGTGCCTGCTGTGTTGTGTGTGTGCCTGCTGTGGTGTGTGTGTGTGCCTGCTGTGGTGTGTGTGTGTGCCTGCTGTGTGTGTGTGTGTGTGTGTGTGTGTGTGCCTGCTGTGGTGTGTGTGTGTGCCTGCTGTGGTGTGTGTGTGCCTGCTGTGGTGTGTGTGTGCCTGCTGTGGTGTGTGTGTGCCTGCTGTGGTGTGTGTGTGCCTGCTGTGGTGTGTGTGCGTGCCTGCTGTGGTGTGTGTGTGTGTTCCTACTGTGGTGTGTGTGTGCCTGCTGTGGTGTGTGTGTGTGCCTGCTGTGGTGTGTTCCTGCTGTAGTGTGTGTGTGTGCCTGCTGTGGTGTGTTCCTGCTGTAGTGTGTGTGTGTGCCTGTTGTAGTGTGTTCCTGCTGTGGTGTGTGTGTGTGTGTGTGTGTATGTGTGCCTGCTCTCATATGCACATAGGGATAGTTAATGACAATGACGGAGATGATGTTGATTATAGAAATAAAGGCTCAGTCTTCCCATCCCAGCTTGCCTAGTGGTGGGTGTCAGGTCCCAAAGAAACTGGGGAGAAATGACTACCCCTGGTGCTATTAGCACACCACAGCACATGCCGGCCTCCCGACTCTCTCAGCAATGCCAGTACCTGTCACAGAGCCTGTGCTGCCATCCTGGCTCTTCTCAGCTTTTCTCACCTGGCCCCACCCCCCGACTTCTCATTAGCACATGGGCTTCCCTTCCCCTGACTTCTCATTTCTCTATAATGTTGCCATTTCGGCCATGCTCTCTCTTGGCTCTAGGTCTCCTCTCTTTGCCCCCTCATGTTTGTCCCTCTCCCTTGGTCCTCCTCTCTTTGCCCCCTCGTGTTTGTCCCTCTCCCTTGGTCCTCCTCTCTTTGCCCCCTCATGTTTGTCCCTCTCTCTTGGTCCTCCTCTTTCATTCTCTCTGACTCCTCTCATGGTCTGATGCAGTCTTGTAGTCATGTTTAGTCTACTACTTCTTCTCCCTGCTCTGGACTCTTCAAGATGCCTCTGGCTGTACTCTCCCTCAAGACTACAATAAAAACCGCCTCAACCATCCTTTGGAGAAGTAATGTCTTCACTTTATGTAGTGACTTTGCAGATATGTGTCAACATGCCCTGTGTCTGTTGTTTGTTGGAACACGTTGCACACAGTCTTAGGTCTAGTTGGTTTATACTATTTTTAAAGTCTTTGATTTCTGTGAGGAGCTTATAATTAAATGATCTATCCCTTCTTGAAAGCAGTATGTTTAAAACTTTACTTATCATGGTAGAAGCATCCTTTCAGAACCTGTGAATTTCTACTTTGTATATTTTGGAGCTCTGATGTTAGTTATATACATATTTTTAATTCTCATAACTTCTGGTGGGATGGTTGGTCTTTCATCATTACATATACCCTTCTCTAGGTCTTTTTGAGGGTATTTGCGTGGTTGCCTACGCATGTGGGGATATACTTGTATGAGGATGACGGTGTACATGTGTTGCCTAATACACAAAGTCAATATTATTGTGAGGATGTCTTATAAGAAAATAGAAAGGAAAACACTCCCTGAACATCAGAGATGGGCACTGGATGAGTGATTCAGCACACAGCTCACTGCTGACTAGACTGTGCCGTAGGCTCCAGGGTTCTCTGTTTCTGAAGCCTGCAGTGGGCTCACCAGCTTTTGTGGGGGTGCTGGGGACCCAAACCCAGCTCTTCATGTTTGTGTGGCAGACACTTTAGGAATAGTCTGCTTTATTTTTAATTGATTTCTTTCATTCTACTTTTGTGTGAACTACTTTCACATGTTCTTGACATTTATTGCTGAAAAGTCGAGATTTTGAATATCGTAAGGCAGAAGGTCTGAAAATCTCATTCTCTCTATTTTGGTCAACTTTCTGTCACTGTGACAAAGCATCCCTGGAAATAAATAGGGGATCAATTCCCTAGTGATTTTAAAGGGTTCTGACTCCAGCCCCTTGCGGCCATTGCTTTGGACCTGTGGCAAGGCAGACCATCATGGTAGGAGCTCATGACATCATAGCAGAGGGTACAGCTTGCCTCATTGCAGCTGGCAGGGAGAAAGGACCAGAATTCCAACAACCCTTCAAGCACCCCCTCGTTCCTATCACTGTACCCCATCTCTTAGAGGTCTTAGCCTCTCTCAATAGGACCAGCAGGCTGACTGTGACTTGAGCACATGGGCCTTTGGAGGACATTTAAGATCCAAACCAAAACACTTGCTTCACTGAGTTTGTTGTGCCTGTGTAGACCAAATTGACGTCGGACACACAGAGACCCACCTGCCTTTGCTTGGACTAAAGACATGCACGGCTGCACCCAGCTAAAGCGGTTCTTATGTGGGCTGGAAAGATGGCTCAGCGGTTAAGAGCACTTGTGGCTCTTGTTTGTTTAACGATTTATAAACGAATTTTGTAAAGTTTATATTCTTCGCCCTGTATGGTGACTGATGTCACTGTTTGGTTAGCTTAGTGGTCAGTGAGTGATTGGGCAGAGATTTCCTGTTTTTGTTTCACTTTAATTTATTCTGTAGAGTTTGAAGTGAAATTTGAAGCTTTAGCTGGAGCACTGAACAATCCCGAGACGAAGGCACAAGTCAGTTACACATTCCTCTCTTTTAATTGGCATCTTGTTACACAGAGGTACTGTCAGCATACAAGTTCTAATTCCTCACAACCTATTTGTTAAGCAGTGGGACAACGAGGTGCCACAGGACAGAAGGCGCCTTCAGGAGTCACAGCAGCCACATGTGGTGAACGGTTATGCAGAGACTTCACTGGAGGGTGATGCCAGACAGTCCTCACGGGGACAGGTAACGGGTACGAAGTGACAAATGGAAAAACATCTGACTTCTAACGATACCGAGAGAAGCTAAAATGTTGGCTCCAGGACGTGTTAAAAGCAGGCATTACAAGTGGCTTTAATTTTGTCCCATAAGTTAACACTTCTGTAACTGCCTGAGAGTCAGTGGGCTTTGAGAACAGCTCGTTGGCTGTAGGAAGTCTTCTTCATGTATAAAAGCACGTAGTCTACTGGCGAAGAATCTACATTTACATTGGCAAATATTTACAGAAAAACATAAATAGACTTTAAAAAAGATTGCACTGTGGGCTTACAATAATTTTGAAAATTGTTTTTCTTAAAAAGAAAATTACTGCTTTCAGGCCTATCAATATGTGTTAGATGCCAGTAATCTATGTATTCTACACTTTAAGCAAGATTCTATTTTTTTGAAATGGTTCTTAAGCCTAATCTAAGACAAAGAAGAAGTCAGCAGGTCTGTGAAGCAGCTGTCCAATACAGAGCAGGACCTGCTTCCGCTGTGAAGATTACCTTCAGGTGCGTGTTTAAGACCTCATCTAGCGATGTCACACAAATATTGAGTGCCTGGAACAACAAAAGCCGTAAACAAAACCTCCCAGTCTGGAGATATTCTCTGTGTGTGCTAACGTGCCTTGGGCATTCTGCTGGGCAATTCATGGCTACCTCCGCCTTCAGTTCATGGCGGCGAGTCAGACAGGAGAGACTTGTGCCTCACAGACACTCGTTGAGTGTGCTCCCTACCTTTGAGATGCGCGTAGCCACAGGACTGCGTGCGAGCATCTCAAGTCTTTGTCATATATTAATCAGCTTCTTGTTGTTACAGAATGCCCTACACAAACAACTTGAGAGGAAAGGTAAATTATTTTGGTTCGTTGTCTCCGAGATTTCAGTCAGCTGCAGTGTGGATAGCATGACTGAGGCCCAGGGGCGTAAGCAGAGAGAGGACGCTTGTATTGGGAGGTTCTGTCGCTCTTATTTTGTTTTAGACCCCAGCATGTGGACAGAGCCACCAACCGCCAGGGTGAGGTTTCTGTCCTTGGCTAACCTTCTTTGGAAAAGCTGTGGAAGACACACCCACAGGTGTGATTTTGAAATCAAGCTTGCTTTCCCGTCTCCAAATTTCACTCTTTCAGGTTGTTCTCCCAAGCTTCCCTATGACAGTTGCTTTCCTGGACTGGAAACCCTTGGTCTACATGACCACCATTATTTTTTTCCATTTTTAAAATTAAAATGCTTTTTTTGTTCGTCTAATATGTTTTGATCATTTTCTCCTCCTTGAACTCCTGCCAAGATCCTACCCACTTTCCTATGCACCCATTTTTATGTGCCCCCCTCTCTCCCTCTCTCTCACACACACTAACTCCCAAAACACCAAAATGAAAATCAAAACAAACACAAATGCAATAAGATAAAAAAAATGATGAAACAAAACAAAATGAAACAAAAACCCACAAAATAAAACACCATCAAATTTGTTCTGTATTGACAAACTGCTCCTGGGCTTGGAGTCCAGCTGGTAGACCCGGTTTTCTGCACTCTGTTGTAGAAAGCTTCTTGGTTAGGAATGGTACCCTGGGACCTTGGGTCAGGAATGGTACCCTGGGACCCTGGGTCTACTTCCCCATCTCAGGGCTGGAACCTCATTTGATTTGAGCCAGGGAAACAGAGTATGATCACAGTTTGTTGATAATGAAGTCTGAACTGCTCCATCTACACAAGGCCCCTCTACTGGGAGTTTGAATCGACACCTTTGAGCTTGCCAGAGGACTGGGGGGTGGGAGAGGGTGCCAAAAATGTCACAGATCTCTCCTGCCACGACTCAGCTAATCCTTTCTGAGTTAAATGTTTACCTGTTTTGTTTTGCTTTGTTTGTATTGCTTTGGCTGGTTCCCAGAGCTCAGATAAAATTTATTCTGACAGTTCTGTTGGCATCCACTGATTTGCGGCAGAATGGGCCCTGGGCGTTCTTCCTTACCCAGTGGTTTTCTCTGATTATTTGTGAGTGATTACCCCCTAGATTTCTAGACTCCGGGGTATCGCGTCGGCATTCAGATAACGCTGACATGTGGGCTGAGGGTTTGCTGATGATGTTCCCCGATTCTTTCTCCTAGTGTGGATCACTGGAGCTGCGTTCTCCCAGCTTCCTCTCCCTGAACGTGCCTTTCCTTTTCTTCATTCGTGGAGGTTAACCTCATGACGTAGGTGCTGGACAGGCAGTTCCTTCCTTTTCATCTTTTTCTGTCTTCTGAGCATCTTCCATTGTCTCTTCTAAGAATAGTTCCTATTCTTCTTGTTCTCTTCTCCCTGGGCTCTGATGAGTCTCATTTTCTGTCTGCTCTTAAGACTCTTTAAAAAAAAAATAACAACTTTGATTTTCAGAAATTGATCACAGTATATTAAGTAGCAATAATTTTCTTTGAATTCATTTCTGTTTTAGAATTTGTTGAGACTATTAGACACATGAACTAGCTAATGTCTTTTTAAATCAGTTTTTCAGTCAATAGATTTTTAAAAAAAATAATTTTCAGTTTTTTTCTCTTTCTCTTCACTTCCAGACCCTAATTTTTTTTTTTTTTTGAGATAAGAATTTAGTGTGTAGCTCAGGCTAATGCCGAGCTCACATCCCTGCCTCTGCCTTGCAAATGCGGAGATTGTGCCCATCACCCCAGCTTCTTCTTCCAGCCCCCAGTCTCACAGGGTTGGACTCTTACACACATGGCCTTGTTCCGGTAATGCTTTGATTTTCCTTTCCTCTCGTCTACAATTCGTGCTTCAGTTAGGAGACCTTCTTGGCTGTTTTCAAGTTTGCCACCCATCTGCCAGCTCACACGAGTTCACTGCTAAGCCCATCCAGAAGAGCATTTGCCTTACGTGCTGCATTCTAGCGCTTTGAAATTGTCATTGTCAGCATTGTAGGGCTTTTGGTTTTGCGCGGAGCTTTTCAACTTCCCGCTTTCCCACTCATTTTGCCCACTTGTCTTCAAAATCTTCCAATTGCTTGTTTGTGATGGTCATTTTAAAGTTGTTACCCACCAGCAATATTTTGATCATTTTTGAGGACTGCTTTTATTCCTTCATTGTCTTCTGATTTCAGGTCACATTTTCTCATTTCCTCATGATTTACATGGTTTTCTATCGTATACCAGATACTACAAATACGGTTGCTGTGGTCAGCTTAGCTAGTACTGATCTGTTTTCACTCGTCCTGCAGGTGGAATCCAGCCTCTTCCGTCGGTGGGGCCCTGCGGCACTGTGCACATCCACCATTCGTGTTTCCCAGCATTCTCTCAGCTCTTCAGTGCCATGCTCACTCTGCAAAACTATGCTCGAGAAGTGACAACCAGAGAGCAAAAGCCCTTCAGGAATCTTTTCCAGACTTCAGTCTGCTGGACTAACCCATAGTTAGCTCTGAGAGCTTGGACGCTCTCCTTCTGTCCATGAGAGACTTACTGCCTGAGCAGCCCTTCCTTCCACCTGCATGTGACCCCCCATGGGCAATCTCTTCCAGAGACGCAGCTCTGCTCATTTGTATTCATGTGCACGCATCAGGGACACTTTGTTCTCTCTGTGTACCTTGGTTTAATGAGACGTCCCTGTGACCATCCGTCACGTCCTCAAAGAATGACTTGAAGAAAAATACATAATTTTAAAAATAGGTCCAGTACTTACTCCTTCCTACACTAGAAGCCGTAATAACCTTCGTGTTTTCACTGACTTTACGAGCAGAGCTATGTTTCAAAAAGGGTTTGAAAAGCCAAGCTGATGATTGCTCAAGGTTTTCATATTAAGCCAGGGCAGCCCATTATGTGGTAACCACACTGACTGATTTTTCTAATATTGAACCAAACTTGTAAGTTATTATGACCAAGGGAAATCTAAGTAAGTCCTTGAGCTTTATTTACTTCTAGTTGGCTTTAAACGTAACCATTTTTGAGGTTACAGAGCTGAAGAATTATTATCCATCTGCCACCAACTTGGCTATTGGTGACACTTCTGACTGAAGATGACCAATAAATTAAAACTGTTATCTTTTGCTATCTTTCCTTATTCTGTGGCATACGATTTTTTTTTTTTTGCATTTTAATGGTTAACTGAGATGTTAGCCATCCCTGGGAAAGGAACCTAATAAAGACACATGTTATAAACTTACCCGCTAGTAGTTTTCCTTTAGATTTATCAGACTTGGACGTCTGATAGTCTTCAGATAGCATCAAAATGTGGGCTAAGGCTTGACAAACGTACTACCATTATTATTAAACATAGACTAATGTTTGACTGTAAGAGAAATAAAATGTTTGTCAACAGAAATTATAGAGGCTGGCCTAAGATTTAAAGTCTGATTTGTTGCAATGGTTTCTCACTAGAATGGGAAAAGAAAAGATGTTCTCTGAATGACAGAGATGGATGCAGAGTTCAGGTTGGACGCATGACTCAGCTGTCTTCCTTCATATTGTCCCCTCCTTCCTTCCCTGTAAAAGCCATCTTGGGCCCCTGACAATCCCTCATGCACAACAAAGCATACCTAAGTCTCTTTGAGGAACAAAGCAAGCTAAATACAGATCAGCTGTGACTAGATGGGAGCTCCTTGTAATGAAAGATGTGACATCGTCCACAAAGATAGTTCTAGACTGATGGAGAAAAAGAAGTTTATGAGAAGGGCCTGGAGAAGGTCCTGGGCCAGAGTGTCTCTGACCACACAGATAGAGCAGAGGTCACCAGGTTGGAGAGCCTATCTGTTCCAGCATTCTGAAGCAAAATAGGTTTCACATTCCTTCCCTTGAAGGAACAACCTGTGTGCTTAACCTTCCGTGTTCCCCTAGTGCAGTGGTTCTCACCCCCCCAATGCTGCAACCCCCTAATAGAGTTCCTCATGTTGTGATGATCCTTAATCATAAAATTACTCTTGTTGCTACTTCATATCTGTAATTTTGCTACTGTTATAAATCATAATGTGAATATCTGATATGCAGGATCTCTGATAGATGACCCTGTGAAATGGTCATTCCACCCCCCCCCCAAAGGGTCACAACAAACAGATCAACCCCCACAGGTCACAGCCACATAAACGAGGACACATCTGTGAGCGCAAAGACTTCGTGCGGCCCCTACAGTACACTATTGTATACATTGCTAGATCTGAAATGCTGATTTGTTAAAGGAATTTTCACATATATTGAAGGAAGTCATCTATAGTTAATTTTTATTCACTCGCAAGGTCATGTGTTTTGAGGGAAGATTCTGTAGCCTCATTTGAGCATTGCAAATGTTATAGTCACAGGCTCGTCACTGTGACCAAACTCCCAACACATAATTTAAAGGGAGAAGGGTCTGCTCTGGCTTGAAGCTTTGAAGGCGCCAATCTATTGTGGTGGAGAGGCTTGGGAGAGCTGAACAATTCATACATGGTGCCCAGGAAGCAAAGAAAAAGTCTATGAGGAAGGGGTAGGACAAAATATAGCAGCCAAGGAAGACAGTGACCTACTACCTTGAGTTAAATTTCACTTCCTGTCTTTCACTACCCCCAACAAAGGATATCCATCATAGGATAGATGTATTCACTAGGCAAGAGGCTTCATGATCGGACTTCTCATGGAAATGACCTCACCTCCCTAACCCAGGCAGGCTTTTCTAATCTCCTAGGCATGTATCCATTCAATTAAATTGACAATCAACATTAACCATCACAAAACATTATCCATTAATTTTATTTTGTGAAAGAACTTCTACAATGCTAAAATAATGAGCCTTTAAATGCTTACTCATTTATAAGTTGTAAGTGTTGAAGTCTCCCACTATTAGTGTGTGGGGTTTAATTATGATTTAAGCTTTAGAGGTGTTTCTTTTTACAAATGAGTGTGCCCTTGTATTTGGGGTATAGATGTTTAGTATTGAGATTTCCTCTTGATGGATTTTTCCTGAGACTAATATGAAATGCCCTTCTTTGTCTCTTTTGATTGATTTTAGTTTAAAGTCTATTTTGTTAGATATTAGGATAGTTACACCAGATTGTTTCTTAGGTCTATTTGACCTAACCCTTTACTCTGGGACAATGTCTGTCTTTGAGGTTGAGATGTGTTTCTTGTATGCAGAAGAAAGTTGGATTCTGTTTCTGTATTCAGTCTGTTAGCCTGTGCCTTTTTTATAGGTGGGTTGAGTCCACTTATATTAAGGGATATTAATGACCAGTGATTGCTAGCTCCTGTTAATTTAGTTTTCATTGTTGGTGATGTTACTTTGTGTGTTTCCCCCTTCTTTGGGATTTTCTGCTATGAGATCATCAATTGTCTGTGTTTTTGTTGGCGTAGCCAACTTCCTTGGGTTGGAGTTTTCCTTCTAGTATTTTGTGTAGGGCTGGGTTTGTGGCTAGTTATTGGTTAAATCTGATTTTGTCATGGAATACCTTGTTTTGTCCTTCTATAGGGATTGAAAGTTTGGGCTGGCATTTATGGTCTTTTAATGTCTGGATAATGCTTACCACACCCTTCTGGCTTTCATTGTCTCCAATGAGAAGTCAGATGTAATTTTGATAGGTCTACTTTTATATGCTACTTGGCCTTTCCCCTTTGTAGCTCTTAATATTCTTTCTTTACTCTGTATGTTTAGTGTTTTGATTATTATGTGGTGAGGGGACTTTTTTTTGATCCAGCCCAAGGTGGAATTTGTTCGGGTCCAGAGTATTTATATGGAATACCCAAGACACCCTACCACCATCCATCCCAAGTCCAGAGGATGGCACTGACCTCAATAGGTAGGTCTTCCTCTACCAATTAAGATAATTGAGATAATTTCTCCTCAATATTCCCAGATGTCCTCTTTGGGTGATTTTAGATTTGCCAAGTTGAGATTAAAAACTGATCATTAAAGTACTCAGTGTTTCTTCAGCATGAGACATGGGTTCACAGGAAGGACTCATTTCCCATGGTGGGTTGACATATTTCTTCCTCAAACCTCTGGGCCATGTTTTTTCCTATCTGCCTCTTTCCAGGCTCCTGAGAAACCCACTTCATTCACCAATATCCAGAAATGATGTGTGTCTGTACCTCAGCTTCACTTTAGTTCTTGTTCAAGGTAAACTCCAAGTGCATTGCTTCAAACTGAACACCAGGAGATTTCTCTCTTGTCCAGTTTCCTTTAGGGTGACTGTTGTGGAACAATGAAATTTCATCCCATTTTTCTTAAACACAACTCTGTGTACAAGGAGCCCGTTTTCTTCCTCCACCAGCTAAAGACAGAGAAGCTCTACGAACTCTCTTCAGAGAGTCGTTGACACAGTAAAGAGAAATGACATGGGGACAGTCATGCCTACTTCACTTACCTGCACTGTATGGATTTGGTTAATCCTGACTTCTAATAAACACTAAATGTGCTTGCATGACCTTATTTCTAGCTCTGAAAACACTCTGTTCCTAATAGACAGCAGAACCTGAGACAAGGCTTCAGGTTAAAAAAAAAATCGTTATGTATGATCTTAGGGAGGAGAAAGAAGCAAGAAGAAAAAGGACCAAACAAGGGAGGAAGATTATAGACAATGGCACTGTCAGCACAGAGAATGCAACTTCCCCGGGTGTCCTGTCGCTGAGGAGTGGATGGAACGCCTCCAGAGCCTTCCTTGTCACTGTGGTCCTTTCACTGAGGGTTACTCTCTGGGCTCTAACTGTCTTATAATTCCAGTCTCACAGAGCCCAATTGAGAGATTGAGATCTTAGTTCTCATCTGGGCTTTCTCCCTCAGGGTATTAGCGGAACCACCTGGAAAACAGGCAGGCATGATCAAAGACCAGTGCCTCTCAGGGCCGCAGGCCTGTGCTGCTGCTGCTGGGAACACCTAGAACTGAGAACGTGGTATCAACTGAAACGTTAATTGAGTGTGGCCAAGTGGAATGGGAAGCCAGTCTGTCCTTCCTCATTTTACTGTTCCTCATTGCTTAGGGCGTGCACCTGGGGACTGTAAGATTTGCTGCTAAGAGGCAAGGGGGTTCATTTCAAGGCCTAAATGTGTTTCTTCCCAGCAGTGTGATACTGGATAAATCATGCTGCCATACAGAGCCTCAATTTCATCATGTACAAGAAGGCAATTTTATAACACATAAGAAGCCTTTTGACCTGGGGCCTGGTACCTACAGGGTTTCCTTTAAATTGATGTAGAGTCCTTGTTTCCTGACATACAGTGAGGGGCTCCAGAGGTAGTCATGGGTGTATCCCATGTGATACCAAAACAGAATATGGGAAGTAACCTTAAACATTTTAAGAGTGAATTATTGACTTGGAGAAGGGTGGAAACAGATACCCAGCCAGGGAGAATCCTCACGGTGCCCATTCATAAGGACCAGAAAAGAAGATGGTTAAAGGAGCTGGCAAGGTGCATATGAACCCCAGAGATCCACATTGGCCTTCATCGTGGCTCACATGACTTCTGAGGTGGCAACATTTGTGCCTTTAGAACCAGTCACCCGCCTGTTGGCAACTTATGTCTTCTTGGAAGCTTCTCTACTCTTTGTCAGGTTCCTGTGGTCTCACAGGCAGGTCTGGAAACCACGCTCACGCTTGTGACCCTGGAACACATAATCACTAAACATCTGCAGAGCTGTCATCATTTGTAACATTGGGAAACTGAGGCCCAAAGGACAGGAAGGATTTGTTTAAAGATGCCTTCCATTCTGAGGGGGAATCAAAGTAGAATCCAGGTCTCCACTAAGGGTTGTGAGGCCATGAGCAGGAACATCTAGCAGGGGCAAAAGTCACATACTTTATTGCCTTTTGAAAACTAGTACATGGGTAGACTCAGAGTTAGAGTCTAGTGGAATAAACACTCTCGTCCGCCTACTGTAGAACCAGGGTCTGAGCAAATGCTTTGAAGTCTACAAAGCCATAAGGGTAGTCTGACTGCAGTCAGTGTACCGTGTACGCATGTTGTTGAAGCGTCCAGTGAACCCCACTCAGATGAGAAAAATTAATCAAAAATAAAGCCCTTGAAAATGTTTTGTGAATTCTCTCAGCAGCAAACATGTGTGTAAACATTCATTAGACTGTTTGCATGCTTAGTGTTTTGTGTAAACAAATGAATCCCCCAACCCCATTCCAGGCAAGCCTGGGTGCTTTAGAAATCCCCATTCTTCCACCTACACATCCCCAGAGGTTATGATCACCTCAAAGATGGACTTTAATACAAACATCTCTTTTCTTCCTTAGCTGCAGTTTATGGTTCTTAACCCTCAGTTGTGTCAACTGTTGGTGTCTGAGTTGCAAGGAAAATTCAAGAAGATATTTTATTTTTTAATATTAAAATATATTATCTTATTGAAAATATAACTTTTATTGAAAATAGATTTTTTTATCTTGATTAGAGTTTTCCCCTCCCTCTACTTCTCCCAGATCCTCCCCATCTCCCCATCTGGATTCACCCCCTTTCTGTCTCTCATTAGGAACCAACACAGGCTTTAAAGGGATAATAATAAAGTATAATATAATAAGATAAAACAAAAACTAACACATTGGAATTGAATAAAACAAACAAACAGAAAGGAAAGAAGCCAAGAGAAGAAACAGAGACCCAATCATTTGACTCATAATATATATACAAAGAACCTATAGGGTAATAAGAAAGAAGAAAAATTATAAATAAAACAAAATTAAAATAAAAATTACAAGATAAAGTTAAAAAGAAGAAAAGCCCTAACATGACATTATGAGACAAGCGTACAGCCTACCCCTAAGAGTAGTTTATTACCCAGTGAGACTCCCTTGGAGGAAATTAAATTTTCATTTGCAAGTGATTATCAATTAGACATAGCTTCTGGGTTAGAAACGGAAGCATGTGTCTACTTTTATCTGCTCTAGGACCATTTAGTGAAGACCCAAGCAGGCCCTGGGCATGGTGCCTCAGACTCTATGAGTTAATATGTGTTTCAGTCTTAATGATTTAGAGGGCCCTGTTTTCTTGGTGTCCTCTATCACCTCTGGCTCTTATACTCTGGGGTTCTCTGAGCCCTGGAGACATCTCATTTGGGGATGAGTGTTCCAAGGTCTCTCACTCTCTGCATAATGTCTGCTGCAGGAGGAAGCTTCTCTGATGATGGCTGAGCAAGGCATCCTGGAGCCTACATACACACATGCACACAAGGTACACACACACACATCATTATTTAGTACTTTTATTTATGTGCATGTGTGCATACCTGCATGAGTTTATGTATACCATGTATGTGCAGGTGCCTGCGAAGGTCAGAGGGTGTGGAATTTCTTGGAAATGGAATTATAGGTAGTTGTGAGTGGCCTGATAAGGGTGCTGAGAACTGAACTCAGGTCCTCTGCAAGAGCAATAGGTACTCTAAACTGCTGTCTTAGTTGGGGTTTCTATTGCGGTGAAGAGACAACATGACCATGGCAACTCTTATAAAGGAAAGCATTTCATTACGGTGGCTCACTTACAGCTCAGAGGTTTAGTCCATTACTGTCATGGAGGTGAGCATGGTGGCTGGGAGTCTGGTGGTGTGTAGGCAGACATGGTGCTGGAGGAGTAGCTGAGAGTCCTACATCTTATAGGCAAAAGGAAGTGGTCTGTATTACCGGGAGTAGCTTGAACATAGGAGACCTCAGAGTCAACACCCAGTGACACATTTCCTCCAACAAGGCCACACATACTTCAATGATGCCATACCTCCTAAGAGTGCCCATTTTCTTTCAAACCACCACGACTGCTAAGCCATCACTCCAGTCCCAAGTGCTTCTTAATGTTAGCTTAAAACATAAGAGTTTTTTTTCTCCTGAATCTGGAACCAAACATGGATTCCACAGTCTTCTTTCTGGACTTTGTGGTGAAGCAGCAGTGCATGGGAGTGGAGTGGGGAGCAGGGACAAGAGGACCCTCTGGAGCAATTCAAATATTCACAGATTTATGGAGTGCCTCATTTTGAGCAAAGTGCATCCACCACTCTCTGGCTCTGCCTTGAGAAATCCTTTACTATTTTTTTGAACAGAATTCAGTATCCAGTAGGAACATAATACTTGCTCAGGACTCACTGTATGAATATTCATGAGACAACTACTCAGAAATCTGTGCATTGATGGATACTTCCCAAACCTACTATTTTGGTTTTCCAATAATAGGGCCTGGTACTCGAATCTCCATGGGATAGGAGGATGAGTTTTTAACAAGCACCCATCTAGTCTTCAAGCACTTGGAAGCCCCATTTGAGGTCCTGGACTAAGTGATGCATGAAGCCATGGGGCAGATGAGTTCTTGCTCTGGATCCCCGGGATCCACCAGCATTTTCCCAGAGCCTGGACTCATAGGAAAGAGCATTGTGCTAAGCAACCAGAATGCCAAAGACATTGGTACCATAACTCCACCTCTCTGAACTTGTTCCTTATTATATAGACTGGAAAACATGGGTATAGACTGTAACTACAGAGGGTTGACTCAAGAGACAATTCATAGGAGAAAAATGCTATATTAAGTACACAGCATTAATTAAAAAAAATTGAAACTGTGTTTTTTTTTTTTTAAATTTGAGCTACAACATTGCCATAAAGCAAATGGGTACTGCAGCTGAGAAGTCAGTATAACTTGAGCAAACATACATTTTGTTAGGTTTGCCACTGTCCTTGCCTCTCTCCTAGTAATCCCCATTCTCTGCTAATTTGTTGCCTTCCTGGTTTCTGGAGGCATTGGTCATAGTTTGAATATATCAAATATCTCCTCTAGCATCAGGCGTTTCCAGCTGGTGGTGCTATGTTGAGAAACTGAACTTTCGGAGATGGAACAGCTGGAGGAAGTGGTTCACTTAGGGAAGGTCCTTGAGGATATCTTGTGTGTGGTCCCTTCCTGTGTCCCTTTCTCTGCTTTCAGCTTATCATGATGAAACCTCCCACCACCACACGGGTCAGCTGCCATGAACCTTTTAAGTCATAAGCACGAACAAACCTTCCCTTACTTTCTGTAAGTTGGGTGTTCTGTTACAGCAAAGGGAGTATGTCTGACCCACACAGCACCTGTGTTTGAGAACCCTGGCTTAGTGGTTCCTGAGAGTCTTTTCAACTTCTGCCATCCTTTGAGTTCCAAGTCAATAATACGCTTTTTCTCAGCACAGGTATTAATCATTACCCACTCTGCATATAAATCAGAACAGGAATGTCTTGCTTGGCCAATTCTCTGAAACTCTTGCTTTGATGCTGTTCATGACTTCTTCTGCATCCAGTGTCTTACCTGTTCAGCACCTGTATGCTCATAGGAGGCACTTTGTGATTCCTGACTGAAGTTCTCTGAGGCCAGCAGCCGCTGTGGACATCCAGACAGTTCAGGCAGGCCAACCAGATGTGTGGGGATTGGGTGCACCCTGGACAGGCCCTAATCTGGGTCATTTGGATCTTTGCAGTCATCATCAGGGGTGAGATGGCCAGGGTTCTCAGGATGTGGGAAAGGAGTAGCACTTTCTACTAGGGGAAATAGACATATTTCCCAGAGGTCTTTGGGGGACCCATTGTGGGCTATGTAGACCCTTGGGGCTTCAGTGTCCAATGCCATTGAAAGTTTGGGGCCAGAGCCTCCTTCTCAGAGGCAGACAGAGTCAGAAGGGATTGCCTCTGTCCTTGCGGTTCCTCACACCCAGTAAGGAAAGGCACCATCCTGGGCACTGGGGGGGGGGGGGAGGCATGTGGACTGGAGTCCGTGTTCTGTGGAGTTGGCTGTGGAGACAGGACTTGCACAAGGGACAGAGCAGATAGTGCCAAGACTCCTGGGTCCTGCTAAGTAAGTAATTCAAGGCTTCATCTTCTGTGCAAAATCCAAGATGCTTGCATGCTTCGTCACCCAAAGCACCATCTTCAAGCTATTGGAAGTATAAGAGCTGATTCCAGCGGTCATCAACATGAAAACTTTTTGCCGCTCTCACTAATCTATTTTCATTTTCATATGTAACCTAAGCAGCTACCTAACTTATCCAAACAACACAATCGATACTATTGCTCAGGAGTCCTCTAAACCAAAAGTTAAAGGTAATTTACTTAGTTTGTTAAAAAAAAATGCCATCCAGTAACTGCAGGTGATGATTGACATGTGGTGGTCTCTGGTGAGCATGGGAATGACTAGAGGGTGGTAGATCCAGCAATCAGTTTGGCAGGATTGGGGCATCTACAGAGCTTCAAGGAAAGGGACAACTTTGGTGTAGAAGAAGAGCTTCTCCCCAAGGTCTTTGAGGTGGTGGTGGGTGCTCAGAAGCAACTGAGGCAGGTCCCCGTGGTGGTGGTGGCTTCTCAAATGATCTTGAAAACAGAGGACCTTGAGCCAAAGAGAAAGTCCCAGCTACCGTGGCCTCTGAGTGGATGCCCACCCAGAAGGGAGCCCTGGGGTAGCCGATTGTCTCCTTCTTTCTAGCCTGCTTCTCAGTTCTCCCTTGTGTGTTTCCTCAGGGTCTGGGGCTGAAGAGCCACAAAGGTACACCAAGCTAGGATGGGTCAAGGGGAAGCAAGTCACTGTGCTGGGAAGCCTCGAACCTGTGAATGTGTTTCTGGGGATCCCTTTCGCTGCACCCCCTCTTGGAGCCCTGCGATTTTCCAGTCCACAGCCTGCGATCCCCTGGGTTGACTTGAGAGAAGCCACCTCCTATCCCAGTTTGTAAGTCACTGTGCCCTGTGGTTTTGGGGACTGGGAGAGATTGCTGAGGGGGAATATAGGTCATGAAGTTCAGGGGCAGAGGAGAGGAAAGGTGGCCACGGGAGTGGGAGGACCACAGACCTTGGTGAGTGTCTCGGTCGGGGCTCCCATGCCGGCTGCTCAGGAGAACTGCTGGAGGCTTGTTAGAATTGTATGTGTTTTTTGGCCTCTCCTAAGCTTCATGAATCAGAACCCTGTAAGCTGGGCCCAAGAGTCTGGAAGCTCTGAAAGCTTTGTGGGATTCTGAACCCCGAGCAGGTGTAGGAAGTGCTGTGATGAGCTTCCCGAATCGTTCAATGAAAGACTTTCTTAGTGTTTCTGTGTGATCTTCACTCTGGGCTGGCCTTTGTGGTCAGTATGGATGAGGGATTCGGAGAGCAGAACCACAGCGTGCTCGTGTGTGTGTGTGTGTGTGTGTGTGTGTGTGTGTGTGTTTAATTCCCGTAGTCTCAGCTGGGCTTAAGGCAAGGCCAGGACCACAGTGGGAACTCCATAAATGCTTGTGCCATGACACCATGGCCGCTGTATTAGTTACTTTTCTAGTCTCTGTGACCAAATTCTGACTGAAAACGATTTAAGGGAGGAAGGGCTCTTTTTGGTCCATAGTTTGAGCAGGTGCCACTAGTATAGCAGCGTCTGCAGTGGCAGGAAGCTGCAGCTGGGGCTCCACACACCTGGGTGGATAAGAAAGCAGAGAGTAGGCTATGCTTCTGCTATTTTCTCCTTTTTTTCTTTACCATGAGCCCTCAGCCCATAGGTCACATTGGGGTAGATCCTCCCAGAGGAGCACCTTCTAGGTGATCCCAAATCCAGCTACAAGAAAGATTAGCCATCACTAATGTCTCTGCAACACAAGGGGCCTCGGAGGTAGGTAGCTTCCAGCCAGTGAAGAGTTTCAAGGCTAGCTAGCTAAGCAGTTCCCACGTTAGCTGTGGAAGAGTGATAGAGCACTGTATGGAGCAACGAGACGTGACGATCCCAGGGTTGTCCAGTTCTGGTTTTGTGAAGTTCTTAGGTTGGGGTCATATGGGGCTAAAGGAAGACCTTGGTACCAGGACATTCACAACACCCCAAAAGATGACTTCATGTGGTTCACGTGTGGACTGAAAATAACATGAAAAAATTATTAGTTGATTATTTGTTTGTTTATTTATTCACTCAACTCATTCAGAACCAACTCCAGAGTTGGATATCATTAGGACTTGGGGATTGCCACAGTGGACTAATGAGATTCTTAGTTTACAAAGAGATTACATTCTAAGACATTATAAATTGAAACTATGTTCACTTCATCTACCTTACCTATCCTACCCTATACCATCCCCAACCATGTAATACATGGGTATGAGCCCATGTGACACTATGGCCATTTACCTACAAACTGAGCATCTTGGGTCCTGGCCCACATGAAGATAAAGGTCAAAACTCCTCATTGGAAGCCTGGTGTCTGTGGACTACATATAGATTTTTCACATTATAAAGTTGAGGAAAACATAGGATCATTGTGTGTTGGGGACTCAAGGAGCATGTAGACCAGTCGTGGTGGAGGACAGAGAAAAATAATTGATAATTAAAATGTAGGGAGCCAAGGCAACCATCAGAGGGCAGAGAAAGCAACTAAGAGAGCCGAGAACCACCCAGCCCAGCTTTTAGAAAAGGTCGGGCTGCCTTTGTGGAAAGCAATGGGACCCGAATTTATGAAAAGACAACATACAAAGGAGCCAGGAGCATAAACACCCCAAAAGGAATATATTCCAGGGGTGGTTTCTCACTCTTCACTAGTGTCCACACGTCTGTCAAGAAAACAACTAACAATAACCGAGCACGTAGGTACGGCAGAAATACCCACACACTCAGTGTCTCTGGTTGCCCTTTAGCCCTCTGGCTAAGATCAAATGTAGTCATTCTCATTGTTGGCGTGCATAGGACTCTGTGCTAGAGACCGTGATTAATCCAGACTCACAGGCTTTTCAGCTGCTCACAGAGGAGTTAGAGGAGATCAGAATGTGATGTACAAACCTGGGGCAAGCTGGAGGGCACAATGCACACTCTGTGGGTGTTTCTAAAGAAGAGCTATGGTCATGCAGAGAAATCTTGGAAGGCTTCCTGGAGGAGTGGTATTTGGACTGAATCTGAAAGAGAGGGATGGATGACTTTGAGCCAGAACATATTGGGAGAAGCTATCCAGGCAGAAGGAGCAAAGCCTGGGTGCTAGAGCTTTGTCTCTCTGGATTCCTGGTATGGAGGCTGCAGGAGGATGCCTTTGCCCTTCTGGATGTAAAAGAGAGACTGATGGGAGAGAACTCAGTGGTGGGTATAGGCAGGGGTGTCCTTGCTGTTAATGATACAACTATTTTGGAAAATGAGCTTTCTTATCCAGGAACTGGATAAAAGGAAATCATCAATTTTTAGCTAGTCTGCCTATTTCTGAAAGGAGGGGTCTGGGGCACAATCAGATTTTATGCTAATAGTCCTGACATGCCTCTCGGCTCAGAAAAGATGACTGCGTCTTGCCTCTGTCCCAAGGAAGTCATGCTGACATAGATTGTGAAGATTCTCTCTCTCTCTCTCTCTCTCTCTCTCTCTCTCTCTCTCTCTCTCAGATGCTTTCAGAACCCAGAGTGGCTCGCCATATATCAAAAAGTACTCCAAGTGCATTACCCTAAGTTTGAAGTCTCAGAAGACTGTCTGTACCTCAACATTCATGCGCCAGCCCATGCCAACTATGACTCCAGTCTCCCGGTAAGGCTGCCTGTTGCACTGGGCATCCACTAGCAAGCCTGGGCACCAGCTGGGGGTGGGACATCTAGAATGAGACCTGGCTCTTATTGAATAAGGGAAATTTTATTGCATAAGTAACTTGTTTTTTTTTAAATTATAAACAGTAGCTGTCCTCTGTCATTGTCTCTGTTGGATATTTCAATGATCATGATTTAACTTTCAATTTTTATTTCATTTTGTTCTCCCCTCTCTGATAAGTATTAAAATTGTCTGTGCAACTTAGAAAAGATAGGCTTAAAAAGGATTCTGAATGTTTTTCAAGTTTGAGAAGCCCCTTTTAAAAGAGTGTAATTGAATAATTAAACTGTTCTTTCCTAATTAAGCCAGTCAAGTACTGATGTCAAGTACTTCATTTAAGAACATAAGGAACCCTGTAGATGAAGGAAGGCTTTCTATGACCTGCATCTTAGCTGCACCCTCTCTTTCAGCACCCTCTCTCCCCATGCCTCTATAATGGGAGAGTCTTCCTGTGGTTTCTGGCAGCAACAATTTTCAAACACTTACTGTGTGCCAGGCATCAGGCATTGTATCCCTTAACGCAGTGCGTAAGAATGGTTGAACTCATTTCGCAGATGAGGAAGTTAAGACACAAGGACTACTCATGTCCTTGCTCTATGTTGTACAGAGTCAGAGCTTTTCCTCTCTTCTCTTTTCCTGACCCAAGGGTGATACCCCAAAATATGGAGCTAGAAGAATGGAAGGGGCTAAGATCTACGAAAGCAGTGACAATACCATTTGAACAATATTTTGAGTTCATTGGTCCTAATCTTTCCGAAACAAGATAAAGTTTTTGTACTCCCCACTTTGTCCATTTTTACTCTGAGGATTAATAAAAGAGAAACCTCTTCAGCTGATGTCTTACTAATTTGTCTTATCACAGTGATAGAATGCCCAGACAAAAGCAACTTTAGGGAGAAAGGGCTGGTTCGGCTCACAGTTCCGGGGTTCAGTCTATAATGGCAGAAGTTACAGCCTCAGCAGACTGGAACAAGTGCTCATGTGGATCCACAGCCAGGAACCAGAGACAAGAATGCTGATGCTCACCTTGCTTGTTTCTTTTAGCTCAGCCTAGGACTCTAGGCCCACATATGGATGGGCCTGTATTCCACTTCAAGTATCCTAATGTAGCTAGTCTTCCACAAGTACACCTAGAGGCTAGCCTAGATGAAATCTCTCATGCTCTCCTGGAAGCAAATCTCCTAGGTGACTCTAGAGCAATGGTTCTCAGTCTTTCCAATGCTGCAACCCTTTAATACAGTTCCTCATGTTGTGGTGACCCCAACCATAAAATTAATTTTGTTGTTACTTTATAACTGTAATTTTACCACTGTTGTGAATCATAATGTAATTATCTGTGTCTTCCAATGGTCTTAGGTGATCCCTGTGAGAGGGCCTTTCGACCCCGAGATGGTTGAGACCCATAGGTTGGGAAAGACTGCTCTAGACCCTGAGAAGTCGATAGTTTTAACATCCCAGCTTTTGTTCTTGCGTGAGCCTTACAATGGTTTCCATCTCCCTGTGGGCCACAGGCTCAGTGGGCATCAGTTACCAGGCTCCAAGCACTTGGACTGAGCAAACACTCTTCTAAAAGTTCTAACTGCAGACTTTTATTTGGACCCCACAAAACCTCCTAAATGAGATATTTATACTCTCCGCAGCACTGTTCTTACATGAGGGGAAACAAAAATGAAAACAAAAGCAATCCCCAGAGAGGTTGAGTAGCCTGTCAGTGTTCACTCAGCTAATGGAATCATCTGCTTTCTAAGAGGCCAGAGTCTACATGGGCCTTGTTCAAAAAATAAGTCCTTAAAGTCTTCTTATGAAGAATGGTGAGGCATTTATAGTCTCCTCAATAAAAAATAATTCAAAAAGCATGGGAAGGGATTGACTGGAAGGGTTCTGTCTCCTCAGGTCATGGTGTGGATACCAGGAGGTGGCTTTGAGACTGGCTCAGCCTCCATCTTTGATGGGTCTGCCCTGGCTGCCTATGAAGATGTGCTGGTTGTGACCATCCAGTACCGCCTAGGAATATTTGGCTTCTTCACGTGAGTCTCTTCTCATGAATGACACTTGAGACCACAAAGAAAAGCGTACTGTAGCTGTGGCCAGTGGCCATCTACATTAGGAGGGACGAACCTTTGGTACCATTGAGTAAATTAGGTCCTAACTAATTAGGCAGTTTCACACATGAACACAAAGCCCCTCAAACCCTAGCAGTTTAAAAAGACTCTTTCTCACCAAGGACTGTCCAAGTTTCTACCCCCAGTGGACAGGTACCCTTGCACATGGTTAACCAGTGAGTGCTCTGGGACCCTTCCATCTTGTGGCTCTGATGCCCACTGTCTAGACCTGACTTTGGCCAACAGTGAAGGAAGTATAGAGGGTCACACAGGGAACCTGTTCCTTAGTCAGCCTGAGGATGACGCTCACCACTTCTGTTCACATACTGCTGGGCAAAGGAGACAAACAGAAATGTTGCCCAGTGGTGTGACCTGGAATTGGGTGGCTCTGAAAGGCCTGGTTGGGCAGCAGGGTGAATGCCACGGTGTTCATGGAATTTGGAATTTTTCCTTTAAAGACTGAGGGTCCTACTCTTACCCTGTTGAGAGATATGTACCAGGAAGTGTACTTTGGAAGAGACTGGAGGTTAGACCACACCTGATGTCTGTCCATTAACAAATGGGAGGCCAGCAAGGAGGCCATTGCCATCTTATTGACTTTATACAGGGTTGAGTCATAGAAACAAGAGGTAGCAAATGCAACACGCTGTGCCTGGTATCTATCTTTCTAACAGTCCCCTGGGCCAGGTATTTTTGTTGTCCTTAGTTTTAACATGAGGGATCTGAGGTCTAGTTGGTTAAATGACTGGCCCAGCATCACCCAGGTCATGGATGGCCAGGCAATGAATTCTGTGCTGCACTTTGTGATCTTAAGGATTGTGGTGAGATGCTTCTGCACCTTGAGGGAGGAATGGGGGCCATCATGGGATCCACCATGGAATGAAGGCTAAATAGGCAGGACTTGGAGAGAACTGGAAATGAGAAGTTAGTCTTAGCCAGAACGATTACACACTGACGAAGGGATGTGGAGGGAGGAACAGGTTGGGGACTGGCAGATGGTAGGATCCTGAAATTCCTCACTCAGAATGTGGGTCCTAGTGGTTTTGTTTGTTTGTTTTCTGTTATTTTCATGTGTTCCCAATAAATTGCTCAGTAATTGTGGGAAACCTGCAACTTTTTGAGGCAGATGCATGGAGTATGATTAAGAGTGTGGGTTCTGAGGCCAGAATCATTGAATCCTAGTTCCTTCTAGATCTTTCTGGCAAAGAGATCTCTGTGCCTGAATTTTCTAGTCTCTTTAAATAGGATATGTATTGTGGTGGCATGCTCACTGATTTAACTGAAAAGAGCTGGCACAAACTTTGGCCATGGTGGTAGTTTGCCACTTCCTTATTCTCTCTGTCTAGCGTGGAGCAAGCACGGGGTGGTAGGGTGTATAGCCCAGTCTTTCTCTCCTCTCACCTCTCAGTACCTTTTGCCAATGGCACATGCTGAAGCCCAAGTGACAGTTTCTAGAGTTAACAGGGCAGAGAGAACCTATAGAGGCAAAGAAGGCAATGTCCAGAACCATCCATCTCAAAGGCTATGGAGGTGATAGAAGTAGTACCTGTATACTTCTTGGGGACATGTTGGGCACATCTGCTGCTGTGGGCACTGCTTTTGTGTTTAGTAACTAGGCAATTTAGGACTTTGTCATTCACTGGAATGCCAGGATGGCCTGGCTCAAGTGGCAGAGGTAACTCAGCAGCAGGATTTTTTCAGGATCCATGGGTTAAGGGGGGAGTTAAGAACACCCTAACATTGGACATGCTATATTGCGTGTGCTTCTCTGGACTAAGTCTGTTGTCCTCAGCTCTTTTAGGGCTCTGGTGTTCAGTGTCCTGCCAGCTCACACCTGACGGAGAGCTGCGGGACTGAAGGACATGTGGCAGCCACCTAAGAACTCTCTCACTTTGCCTCCTACCCCTAGCACACGGGACCAGCATGCCCCCGGGAACTGGGCCTTCCAGGACCAGCTGGCAGCCCTACTATGGGTCAAGGAGAACATCAAGTTCTTCGGTGGAAACCCTGACTCCGTGACACTCTTTGGTGGCTCAGCAGGAGCCATAAGTATTTCTAGTCTTGTGAGTTTTCTGTTTTATGACTTGGATGACTCTTGGCTAGGGAGGTTATACGCATAGAGACAAGACATCACAAGACAAGAACATTGCTACTGTTGTCCTGAATACATGTAACATTTTCATTTCCTTGGGGTTAACAAATGAAAGTTTTATCAACTCTTTGAGTACTTCTTACATGCACACAATGTGTTTTGATCACATGTATCCCCTTTCTCTTCCCTTGAATTCCTCCAGGATCTACCTCCCCTAACTTCATATCCTTTTTTATTTTTAATAACCCACTGAGTTCAGTTTGGCTGCCCATATCCACATGAGTGTGGAGTAGTCGACTGGAGTGAAGTACACACTTAAAAACTGCCTATTACTTCTTAGATAAATTGTAAGTCTGGGGCACAGTCTCATTTCATGAACAAGACAGCAGTCACCACGAGAGTTTAGATGAATTCCTAAGGTCACACAATCAGTGATAATTTGAGGGGGAAAAATCCCTCTGTTTGTAGAGCCGAATCCCTACAATCTAGTCATCAGGACTGATAAGCCCTTGTTTGCAGTAGTCACAAACACACACATACACATGCACACACACACACACACACACACACGGTAGTAGGTGGCATCACATCTTGAACCGACAAGCAGAAAGATGCATGCAGTTGGGATGGCTCCTTTTATTATCGCCATCTACTGAGAACTACCTTAGACCTTTCCTTAGCGTCCCCTCTTTGGCTCTCCCTCTTAGAGATTTCACACTATTTCCTAATACCACCACCCTGGAAAGCAAACATCTAACATTTGGACCTTCTGCGGGGGGTGTCACACAAACCATAGCATTATTCGCTAGAAAGCCCCAGCTAAAGCATGAATAATGAAAGATGCATAGAAGCACACACATCCAGTGTGCACGCCTCACTGGCAGCTGGATACAGGCATTGTCCTTTGAGAGCTGGTCTGCTGCCCAGAGTTTGGACGCAGATCATTTTGCATAGATCAGCTGCAGAATTCATTGCCTTTGAGCACAGGTTTTTGAGACTCATTACAGGCGACACCCATATTTAAACATCTGTACAAAGTCTCATGTAGTCTGCTAAGTAGCTTGTAGAAAACCACTCTTACGTGGTCACAAGAGTACAGCAGTTCTTAGGGTCTTCTCTCAAAGATTTCACTCTTCTCTACACCAAATTTGACAGCAATATCTTTTAGCCACCCATCTCTATCAGTTTTTCCCGAGACAGTTTTTTTCACACATGAAGCCCACTGATTTGCATTATATTCCCTTGATGGTGTTACCACAGCAACAAATGCGGTTGACAATGCAACTTTGGGAATAACAAGCGCAACTCTTGGCGCAAGACTGGCAGGAATAGAAATGCTTGAATATACGAGAGAATGACTATCCCCAAGTGGGGAATTCCCTGAAATAAATTAGCATGTTAATCAGAGGTCAGTTACATAGAAGTGGTTAAAGAGGGCTTCTGCTCTACAGTGCCCGACACTAGTCAAAATAACTTTATGTTCTCAGTAGTCATCTCTGAGAAGGACTGTGTTAATCTATTATCTATCTATCTATCTATCTATCTATCTATCTATCTATCTATCTATAACAAAGGTCACCCTTCATGAGTGAAATTGACCAGGTACCGAGTGAACACTCATGTTCATTACTTCTCTTACTCCAAACAAAAATATCTATGACCTGAAGTAATTTTTGCTACAGTGTTTCAGAGAACTAAATTGATGCTCAGAAATATGGAGTCACTTGTCCATAGCAAGGGAGTAAAGGCACTAGAAACCATGACAGAATAGCTGAGTCAGTGTTCCTGAAGCCAATCACGGAGGTGCACACATGTAATCCTGGCACCTGGAGGCTGAGGCAGAAGGATGGGGGAAGCCTGGGCTATGGTGGGCTATGGAGTTAGGGCCTTTGTAAAAAGCAGAAATAATTAATAAAGAAATGGGGACTTACAGAGGTGAAATAACTCATTTAAGCCTCTATATCTAGTCCGTGAACACCCAAGTAGGGCTATCTAGGCCAAAGCAGAATTCTGAAGGGGGCCTCCTGGGACGGTGTCTTTAAGGAAGGAGTTGGTGGTGTGTATAATAGGTGTGGTTCTTGGATGACTGATGCTGGGTCTCCTACATTTTCTTTGTAGATTCTGTCTCCTTTGAGCACGGGCTTATTCCACAGGGCCATCATGGAGAGCGGAGTGGCCATCATTCCGAATCTGAAGGGCCTCGATGATGAGCGGAGAAATGATGTAGGTAACTTCTCACATCTTTCCTAGGCCGTGGAAGCTCAGGGGCTGCCAGTCTCTCCTCCGCTTAGACTTTTCTTCCTGTCCATGTCCAGAAAGCCTCATGCTAGTCCAGGAGCAGTCTTGCGCCTGTATGGAAGGCTTGTTCAACAGGAAAGGGTTTAACTACACAGGACAGCTGTACTGTTGTTCCCAAGGGTGTACGTAAGCATGTTAGTCATAGAGCAGTGGTTCTCAACCTGTGGGTCATGACCCCTGGGGGTCAAATGACCTTTTCCCAGGAGTTACATAAGACCACCAGGTAACATAGATATTCACATTATGATTTATAACAGTAGCAAAATTACAGTTATGAAGTAACAATGAAAATAATTTTATGGTTGGGGGGTCACCACAATATGAGGAACTGTATGAAAGGGTCACAGGTTGAGGACCACTGTCATAAAGGACAGGAGTCCAGGTGCACAATGCAGCATTACTGGTGTGCCTGGGTGTGCACATGTGTGTTGTAGTTCTTAAATAATTTTTGTGGGGGCGCAAACCAGTCCCAGTTATTCTCAGTATTCTGTGTAGTTGGTCTTCTGTGCCTTTCATATTCGATGCTATCCTAGAGTGAATTCTGGGAAAGACTCTGGGGCTATTCCCAGCTCTTTGGGGCAGATGGAGTGACTGTTGGGGTTTAGGGGATGTGGTAGGATGCATGTCCCAGGCCCTTGCCCTGGGAATGATTCATTCTAGTGATTGTTCTTTTTATTTATCCCTCCCTCGCTCCTTCCCTCCCTTCCTTCTCCTTTCCTCCCTACCTTCTTCATTCTGTTTTTTTGTGAGGTGGATATCTCACTATTTTGCTCAGGGTGGTCTCAAATTTCTGACCCGAAGAGACCCTCCTATCTCTGCCTCTAGAGTTTGTGGGACTACACTCGTGCACCACGTCCTTGAGCTTGTATGGTTTATGTTCTTAAACACAATGTAGACAATAGTATCTACCCCAAAGTCTAAACAGGGTCATAAAATTGTGGACTAGCCTCAGTGTAGATGAATACTGATTTTGGTAGTGTTTAATACAAAGCTAATTGCAGCTTGTGCATTGATTTATTCACCCCCCCCCCAAAGTATTCATTGAGTGCACACAGGTTCCCAGTGCTGTTAGGATGCATAGCTTTATCAGAGGACAAAGAATACCCTCAACTAGAGAAGACAAGGTCTTCTTGTTACAAAAACTTTAGCTGGAGTCTGAGAACTGGTGTGGAAGGTGTTCTTAAGTGACCAACTGTCACATGTAGACTCGATATGTTGGCTATGTATGCAGCTAAAGTTGAATCCTCAAAGCACCAATGACCCCCAGAGGCTTAAGGGCAATTGTAGTTTTACAAATATGGAGAACTTGATGGTAAAGCAAACAGTTGCCTAGCAACAGTCTGGGTAGCAAAGGTGTGAGACACTGGCATGCTATGAGATCAGGGGAAGAAGTCGGACTGCAGTGGTTGGAAGGGATGTCCTGGAGAAGGCAGCCCTTGGGCCTGAAATTAAAGAAAAAAGTAAATTATAATTGTGGAATAAAAACAAAAGCAAGGTTAATGTCTTTAAAGTAGAGAAAAGACCCCTAGAGATTCCTGGCCACGTCTAGGACTGAAGTTTGACCAGTACAGATAAAGTCAGTGTTGGTCTCAAGGCCTCAGCTGATGTCTGGAGCTTGCAAAGCTCTCCCTCACTCTTGAGGTTCCAGCTTCACTCCAATATCAGAACCTTATGACATTATAACTACGTCTACAGGACTGGCATGTCTGTGACGAGGAAGGAACTCTGACTCCAGTCCACGGCCACAGACTGACAACTCAATTCCCTCAGCTCTGGCAGTCACTGGAGTCAGGATAATGGTGATCTAACCTCAGTATAGCAGCACGGGCCTACAGAGAGGCAGGTGACATACTGGACTTCACATGCAAGGAAGGACTCTGGGCCTGGCAGAGGCCACTTCCCAGGCTTTCATTCCCCTGGGCGGGATACCGACTACTGTCTTTTCCCTTCTCTGTGAACAGCTGCAGGTGGTTGCTGATGTCTGTGGTTGCAGTGTGTTAGATTCCCAGGCTATGCTGAAGTGCCTCAGGGAAAAGTCTTCCTTGGAGTTGCTGAGCCTTGGCAAGGTGAGGAGAGATGGGAAATTTGTGTGGGTAACTCAGAAGATGGTAGTGGCCAAACATTGTATCTGTTTTATTTGCTTTGATTGGAAACTTTGACAAGAGAGGGGTTGGCGATTCAGGGCACCCTCTGAATGATGTGGGGTTTAGGACTCCTGCAAGTGACTTAAGGTGGGAGACGGACATTGCTCAGCCCAGGTTGTTGCTTAGAAGTTGAAGGCATCTGGGAAGAGGACCATGCTTGTGCCCCATGACTCCAGAAGCTAAAATCAAGATTAAGGGCTGGGAATTATAGCTGAGAGTCTTTTTTTTTTTCCTGTTGTTGTTGCTGTAGCAGAATATTCTGAGCTATCTGCTGCTTATGAAGGAACTGGCAGAGATACCACTGCTGCAGGTATTCAATCAAAGCCTGACTGGCACTAGAGAATCTTCAAGATTAGATGGCCAATTGGACTGGATAGATTTTAATGGATCTTCCGGTTTGAGACTCTTTGCTAGCCCTCGAATGATTAAGATTGTTACTTCTCAGACTCAAATGTTTGTAGCTGCTTGGCATGTATAGAATATCTGCATTCTGGAGTCTATAAAGTGGATAATGGCCACCCACCATTGTCAGCTCTTCATGGTCCCTTCTACCCAGTTCCCTACACATGAACCTAAAAAGAAAAAGCATGATCAGAGCGGTCAAGATAGCTCATCCAAAAAAAAAAAAAAAAAAAAAAAAAAAAAGCATTTACTGCATAAGCTGAATGACCCCAGTTCAATGCCCAGAACCCACCTATAGGTGAAAGGAGAGAAAACTCACACACAACACAGGTGTCCTCTGGCTTTCACAGACACTGTGGTATGTGCATGCTACACCCCCTCCCCTACACACACGATAAAAAAGGCACAGTGAAGGGTTCGTACCTCCTTCCTTCATCCTGGCTACTCTTCCCCTCGCCATTTGGCCAGAAGTTCTTAAACTTGAGCAGGCATCACTACCACCCAGAGGCGATGGCTCTCAGTGTTCTAGATTCAGCTACTGTGCTAGCTATTATTTTTCTTTAGTTGATATTATTATTATTGTTTTATTATTCGGTAGGTGAGAAACTATGGCACAGAAAAATTTAGATATTTTTCCTTTTTAAGTAAATGACAGGACAGGTCAGAAACAATGCATTTAACTGGGCCTCTAGTGTTTTGTTTTTCCTCTTTCCAGATGCCTTTGGACCATCTGGGGACAATAGTTTTTATTAACAGAGGTAACTGTTGCTTTTTCCTTTCTTGGTTGCAGAAAACAAGGTCATTCACTAGAGTGGTCGATGGTTCTTTCTTTCCCGATGAACCGCTAGAGCTGCTGTCTCAAAAGGCATTTAAAGCACTTCCTTCTATCATTGGAGTCAATAACCAAGAATGTGGTTACATTCTGCCCATGGTAAGAATTCTGTATTTCCTCCTGCTTCTCCCTCAACAGCAAGGCAACCGCTTGCTTCCACTGGTGATTCTTCGTGTGATAAAAGTCAGAACCTATTGCTCTTCGGCAACAGAATCTTCCCGCTGACTGGAAGAGGGTGTCTTAATCTGTTTGATGTCATTAAAATGCAATCCTTGGTACTGGGAATTTTAATTTAGACCAGGTTTATTTGGCTTATGATTCTGGCCAATAGAAAGTAAAAACAGTGTGGCGACAGCATTTGAAGATGACTTCACAGGCTATGTCGCAGCATGGTGGAGAAGAAGAAAGGGGAAGGGCTGCATGCAGAAGGGGCCCAACATAAAGAGGTGACCCTACTGGATAACAACTCATTACCTGGAAAACTAGCTAGGTCCTAGTAATCTCTTCAAAAGATGGCGCACCTTTGACCTAATCACTTTCACTGAGGTCCCACCTCTTAGAGATTTACCATCACACATTTACAATGGGTACGAAACTTCCAGCCCACGAACCTTTGGTCAGATGTACTCAAACACATCTAAACTATAGGCAAGAAGAACCAGGGTCTGGAGGATCAACCATATGTCTGTCTTGTTCCATATACAGATTTGTTGCAAAAGAAGTAACTGTGTGAAGAGGAGAGAGTTGGACCCATTTGTCTTTACTAAAAACAAACAAAAGAACTACAAATGATTGTTTAAAGTAAATACATTTACTACTTCAGATAGGTTTTAGAAATTTCACTCTTTTAAATATTTTATATTCAGTCTTGGCCCTGACATTCTCACTTCTGAGAAGAGTTCGTGTCTACAGTGGAATTAGGGCATGCCGGGAAGTTGTACACTTAGAAACGCCAAACCTTCAGTAGGGGGCACTCTCCAGAGACTGCGCATAGTTAAGAAATGCTTTTTAGAGCATGCTCAAAGCATACAGAACACACTGGGAAGAAGTCTTCTCTAGGGGGTGTCAGGATGGCAAGGCTAAGCCTCTCTGAGGAGGGCTGATTGAACAACAGCCCGGGTGAGCATGGAGGGAAGCTTCCTGGACTCTGGGCTTTATGAAGCTTCTCATCTGACTTAGAAGTTTGAAGGAGAGATTAAATTCATTATGATGTCAAAACTCATTTACCTAGACCAGCCTCTTTGTTTTAAACTGGCGGGGGAAGGGGCCGAGAGATAAAGGAATCAGGGACCATAATCATCGTGACCAGTCCCTGGAGTGCCTTTCCCATGCCAGACACAGGCCTAAATGGGAACTAACAAGCAGGCACCATCTCTTCTACTATAGTTCTAAAGAAGCTAACTTTCAGAGGGTGCGAGCGGTGCTCCTGTCTCCTCGCCAATAAGGAGACAGCGGTGTGTAACTCACTCATTTAGCCTCTGCTTTCCGAGCAACGAGCCCAGATGGTTTACAGGGAATACCCTTCTTCTTTCCACAGAAGGACACCCCTGAGATCCTCCTCGGCTCCAACAAGTCTGTTGCTCTTAACTTGATACACATTTTCCTGGTAAGTGACAGTGGGTGGTGTGGCTCTCCAGAGAGTCATCCACTTGGCAGAAATCCCTGTTCTACACATGGATAGAGGTTAGAGTAAAGACATTCCACTCTGATTCATTAATCAACTAGTTAATTCAGTAGACTTTTTATTGGTTCACAATCCCTTATTCACAATCTTAAGGTCAAAGAGCTCTAAAAACCCGAAGGCTTTCTGTAACCTTCATATTAGCCAAATGCGATCTGTGGCCACTAGACCTTTTAACTTCTATGCATTCATTTTCTTTATTTACGCCATTATTAATCTGTTTCTGGCACATATTAATGTGGATTTGGGGGTACTTTCCCCCTCAAGAATGTTGCAAGCCAGCACATATACTGAATTATCTAAGTATGATTTGAAAAGTTATGAATTATGAAATATACAGGGGGCTAGAATTCTATATTTACTTTGAGGTCATCAGGCATTGTGTTAAGTTACAGCATTAACAGTCATGTGCTTATCTATTAAATTGTGAAACATTTCATATTTCAGAAACAAGCATAGTAGTATCAGGTAGACACTGAGGTATGAAGATAAATTTATTTTTTCCCTCCTGTTCCTTCCATCTTCTTTCTTCCCATAAACATTGATATAGCATAATCACAAAGCCACATTCATTGCTTTTATTGACTCATAGAACATCTGTTTACTGAAACTAAATACTCTAAAACTTCTCCAGGCAATGAGATACAGTGTGGGGTGAACATACTGTGTCTCATGAAGCAGAGCAGATGAGAGCCCATGGCCAGTGGTGTCCACAGGAGGATCAAGGTAGCTCCCTGCAGGAAGAAAGAGTTTCAGGGAGTCAGGAGTGAGCGGAGCATAGGAAGAACTATAGGAACCAACAGGGAGCTGAGGAATGGGAAGAGATCAGCTGAGGGGGTGACTCCCGAAGGCGAGGATCCATGAGAAACAGGGAAGGGGAAGTGATTGGGCTTCCATTTGAAGGTTTCTTCTAGCTAAAGAGTCCAGTGGCCTGACTGGGTCAGTCAGGGGACTCTTTAGTCTCTGGGCCTTGGAGAAGAATGTTTGGTGAGTCTTGACTAGCCAAGGAAGTGAACTTAGCCTGAAGACTGAAGGATATTCATGATATAAACAGAGCAGTGGGATCCCTCTGCCTGTTTGGTAGATGCTCCTTGGAGGAGATTTCCATTGCTCTGGGTCATAGGGGAAGGGGTACTGGAGAAGAAGAAGGACATTTCAAATGCTGAATGTGTCTTGAGCCAAATCTCAGGGGTGGGAGTAAGTAGGTTTTCTGGGATGGCACAAGAGTGAGGGCTGAGCTGCAGGGTCTCTAACAAAGACCTGGTAGCATGCTGGAGCTGCTTCATAAGTGGCAGCCATTTCTCTGGCCTTGATCCAGAAGCCCAGAGTCTGCCTTGTGACTGTCATCTGGTGGCTTGCCTGTGACTGGTAGCCTCTCCACCCCTCTGGACACTTCTAGGCCTGTAAGGTCTGTCATTTCGTGATCCATGTGGACAGGCTCTCGTACCAAAGCCTGCACAGCTGTAGTCCTCTCTTACTCTGGGCCCGATTAAAGCACCCTGAGACTTCTGAGCTCCTGAAGAGTGGGTCTCAGCTGCACTCCCAGACGTGGCTTTGCTGCCAAATTCCATAGGCGTGTGCCACCAAAATAAAGGCCAACAGCACAGCAAATGTCCCAGTATCACCTAGAGCATTGAACCCTTTTCAACAGTCACCATGGTGCAGGCCCTTCCATCCTCAGGAAGTTGACCTTCCACAGCCTGTCATTGGTACTCAGGGTAAAATCAACATTAGGAGACTCGGAGGCAACTGGAGTTGGCTCAAAGAATGCATCAAATGCCCATCAGATGGAGGCACTCAGCAATGGGATTCAGCAAGCAACCGAGCCAAGGCCTGCTCTCCTCCAGGAAGCACGCTCTCCTGGTTGTCTCCTGTACTCCTAGAATGACCCATTTTAAAAATTATAGCTGGGAAAACTAAGGCTACAAGAAGCCAAATGGCTTAGAGGCAGAGCTTGTTCCAGAAACAGGGATAGCTTTGTGGAAGTGTGGCCAGTGCGTCATACAGCACTTCCTTCTCTGAAGGTCCCTCTCTTTAGCTCGGTGTTCTGCTGTCACCATCTGGAAATTCTTAATAACTTTGGAATCCAGGACGCCAGATTTTCCCTTGTACTTAGCACCATCAGTGTGTGTACTGTACATGCTCAGAGCATGGGGTTTAGATACAGACTTGTGAAAAATTCATTGGTCTATCAGTTTGGAGCAACCATTCCACTCTCTGCGTGTCTTAGTTCCAAATCTGTGCACTATTTTTAATGCATCCTAGGATTTCTGTGTGTACAAAATGAGCCAAACATAGACAGCATTTACAAGTCTGCCTGTCCAGGCTAATCCTTATTAACAGGTTGGCCATTGTTATTGACTTGCATTTCCTATGACCGTGATATTTTCTTTTCCTTTCCCTCCCTCTTCCATCTCTCTCCCCTCCCTCTCTTCTCCCATCCCTCCCCCACTTTCTTTGCTTTCTTCTTACAGCACATCCCTACCCAGTATTTGCACGTTGTAGCTAAAGAATACTTCCATGACAAGCACTCCCTAACTGAGATCCGAGATGCTTTACTGGACTTGCTTGGAGATGTGTTCTTTGTGGTTCCTGGGCTGGTCACAGCTCGATACCACCGAGGTGAGTCTGAAGAATTCCTCTCGGGGCTACAGACAGTGAGGTAGGAGGCTGTGGGGGTTTGTGTTGCCCACTGAGGATCCACCTCCCTGCCCCCCCGCCCCCAGTTGCTTCACCATGAGGATCTTTTTGGTGAGTCCATGATGGAAGAATGCTGTATCCATTTTTGCAGTTCCAGACCATGGACTACTTATTTCCTTTACTTTTCTTCGCTTTTCTCCCTGGAGTTGGTTGTTTTTCTAAACATCTTAGCTGTAGGAGTGAGGGGGGATGTGGGAGAGAAGAAAGCATCCTTGGGGAGGGGATATAAAGCTTGTCTTCTCCTTTCATCCATTCCCCTCTCCCTTCTCCCCCCTCATTTTCCTTCCCTTTGCTTTTCTTGTAACAAACACTTAGCCGTGACCTCCGTTATGCTTGATTTTGTTCTATTTCCTGGAAATTTGGCAGTGAGCAGAATAAATGCCCTGCCACTGTTCTAGTGAGGAGGACTGGAAAAAAGGAGCAAACACATTAACGCAGACTGTGTTTGATGACGATAAGTGCAGTGGCACCGAAGGACAGAGGCTGTGGGTTAGGTTGCCATGGGAGATCGCTGCTGCATTAGGTCTGCTAATGACAGGCAAGATGAGGACTGTTGAATCTGGTGACCTTGGCAACCACTTTAATGTAATGATAAGAGAGTGGAAGTCTAATTTAAATGGTTCTAAGAAAATGGGGGGAATTGATCTGGAGACTCAATTTAAAACAGCTTCAATTCTTTTGTAACCATTTTGTAGAAGTTAAAATTTACATGAAAATGCAGCTATGGCCAAATCAATCCTAAGAAAGTGCAGCAAAATGAGAGGAGAAAGAATTCACTCGGTTTCAGAACTTATCATTGAGCTATGGTAACTGAGCAGGCCCCACCCCCTCACTGTGGAGCTACGGGCAGTGGATGGTCGCAGGGTTAGAGAAAATCACTTTTTGTGGATGTCACCACTGGCCTGTTTCCCTTGTTTTAGAGGGTTATCTCACTCATGGACATACGGGCAGCACTCACTGGGTTTAGTAGGTTAGAAAATTAAAAGACATCAAGTTGGGAAAGGGAACAGGTAAGGTAGATATAATCATTTTTCATTATATACATCTATACAATTCTCAACAATAAAGAAAAACTTACAAAGGAATATACACTCCTTTAATTCCAGCACTCCAGAGGGAGATCTCTGAGTTTGAGGCCAGCATGGTCTACAGAGAGAGTTCCAGGACAGCCAGGGCTAGACAGAGAAACACTGTCTGACACACACACACACACACACACACACACACACACACACACACTAATAGTTGTGTTGGCTCGGGGTAGACAAGTCGAGCAGTAGAGTGTAGTGAAGAACCCACTCTCTACAGCTAAGAAGTGGGGCTGGAGCTCCATGAGATGACTCAGTGGGTAAGGCGCTTGCTGCCTGAGGACCTGAGTTCAATTCTCAGAGCCCACAGAGTGGAAGGAGAGAAGAAAAAAAGCTAATATGTTATCCTCTTGTTTGCACACAAGTGCTATGGCATACCACACACACACACACACACACACACACACACACACACTACACATGTGAGCTCACCATACACACAGGGTCTAACTGAAAACACTTGTGAGTGCCTCTGTTTTTGTTTTTCTGCTTTGTTTGTGTGATTGGTGGTTCCAGAAGTTTATGGAAACCTCAGTAACATATTACATCGTAAACTGATCACTAAGGTACCAGAAAACGGCTTCAATGGCAACTTAGAACAAATAATATAAGCTTTATAAAGTTAGTACAGAACATCAGTAAAAAAGTTCCTCAACAGCACCCGGACAATCAGTGAAACACAAAACTCAGATGTTGGTAGGATCAGAATCCATCATGTCCACACGAGAACTTTTGTTGTTGTTTCTGTTTTGTTTTTTGTTTTGTTTTTTTTAAATTCCATTAGATAAAAAAATCAAGACTGTTTCTCTTACACACAGGAAAAAGAAATTAAGAGAAACTGTTTTTGAGGAACTCCAAACGTTGGAATTGTTGAACAAAAGCTTTAAACTTTAAAAACTTAAAATTTAAAAACTATTTTAAATAAACGGAATGGCGGGAATACCAACCATTATATCACCACCACCTCAGTGAAAATCTGCTTTTCAAAATATGTTTAGATGTTTAAAGGAAGCCATGAGAATAAATTATCACTAAGTAGTGGCTATAAAGAGATATGCTTTATTAGAAAAAACATGAGCCTGGGTGGTGGTGACACACGCCTTTAATACCAACAGTCAGAAGGCAGAGGCAAGCAGATTTCCATGAGTTGGAGGCCAGCCTGGTCTACAAGAGCTAGATCCAGGACAACCAGGGCTGTTATACAGAGAAACCCTGTCTTGAAAAAATAAAAAAATTAAAAAAAAAAAAGAAGAAGAGACACATGAGAAGGAGCTGAACAGCGTGGAAAGGCACACTAACTGAAATGAACAAGTTACTCAAGAGGTCCATTACAGATGTGAACGCATGAAAGAAAGAACAAGGAACTTAGTTATAACACTTGAGACACTTAATCCCAAAGAGAAAGGAGTGAAGGAAGATGGACAGAGCAGAAAGAGATCCTGTGGGACAGTCTGATCAATTGAGTTTATGTATAATCGGATCCCACAAAAGACAGGGGAGAACACAGAGGCAGGAAGAATAAGTAAGACACAAAATGTCCCAACGTTGTTGATGGTCCGGCATCTAAGAATTTCAACAACCTCCATCTTGGAAAAACTCAGAGACCACAAAGAGAAACATCATAGCTAAAGCCGAAGAGAAATAAGAGAGAGAGCTTCAACGACACTGTGAGAGAGCCGATACTTGTCATCTAGAAATGAGATTATCATGCTAAAAAAATGATGCTGATCAGAAAGCACGGGGATGACAGAGTCACAGTGCTGTAAGATGAAATAGTCAAGGCTGCTAACCGAGAATTAGGTCTCTGGTAAAAACCGCCCCTCAGAAAAGAAGGAGAAATTATGACATTTCCTGGTACACAGACCTTGAGCTCACAGTTGACAACCTTGCCAGGGAAGAAAAGGAATCTTTCAAAGATTTTAAGCTGAAAGAAAGGGCTGAGGAAAACATTTCAAAACAGGTAAATAACACAGTGAAACTAACCTTGTAAGGAAATATGGAAGTCTTTATTAATTCATTTTTGTTTATAACACCCTCTTTCCTAAGTGACCTTAAAGACAATTTCATAAGACAATTATAAATCTTTCAGTAACATACAATGTATAGAGACATAAATTTTAGTCTTAACAGTTTCTGTGCTATCAAAAGTAAATTAAAATTAATTTGAACTTTATCATAAGTTAAGATGTGAGTTACAAATATTGAACATTAATTTAGAAAATAATTTAAAATATGAGTAAAAGGAGTAAGAGGCGGGTTGGGATGATGCACCAGAAAATTCTGGTATAAAAGAAGGCAGTAACGGAGCAACTGAAAAGCAAAGCTGCTGTAAGAGACATAGAAAATAACAAAGCAGTGGAAGTCAGCCTTCCCTCTTATAGTAAATGTAAATGGGCTCATCTCTCAGTAGGCAGCTGTTTGTAGAGGGATTGAAGAAACTCTGGCACACGCTATAAGCAGAGATTCGCCTGAGAACCAAGGGCGCACATCGGCTGAGAGAGAAAGAATGGCAAAGATATTCAGTGCAAACAGCCACCAGAAGAGACCTGGGCCTGAGGCATAAGCTAGACACAATAAATCTGGAGACGGAAAGTGCCACAAGACACGGGGAAGGTGTTATACAAGGGCGTCTGCCCCCGAAAAGCACCAGAATTAAAGACCTGTGTGCACTTTATGAGAGAGCCACAAAATCCATGAAGTAAAGGTCACAGAAAAAGCTTGAAGGGATAGTTTTATTATAATAGTTTGAGACCTTAACACCGCATTTTCAATGACGGGACAATTGTGCAAAATATGAAGAGGGAAATAAAAGATGAGAATAATACTATAAATCAAACAGCCCTAACGATGCACAGAGAGCATCCCATCCGGCAGCCATCGGAGTCCTCATTTTTCTTGTGTATGTGTGATGTCCTTCAGGATCAACCCCATGTTTGTCCGCAGAACAAACCTCAGCACACCTGAGAGAGTGGAATATGACCCCAGAGGAGTGCAGAAATCAGTAGGAGGAAATATGAAACGCAAACATGGAAAAATTAAATGACATAATTTTCACACTTAAAATATTATGGCAAAATCTGTATGACAAAACATTTAGTACTTTAACCGTTTTTATGTAACACCTGTACATGAAATAATATAGTATTTGTCCTTTTTGTTGTCTAGCTTATTAGCACAATGCCTGAAGGTTTATCTACTTCCTAGGATCTATCAGGATTCCTATCTTGTGCTGAGGAATATTCTTTGCCTGTATATACCACATTTAGTTGTGATCATTTGAGTGGTTCTGCCTGTGGTGAATTATGCTGTTTGGACACACATGTACAGATAGACATTCTATGCCCATCAGAGGCTGAATTACCAGACTACACAATCATTCTATGTTTTGAAGAACTGCACTTTACTTTCTACAGCAGCTGTGCTATTTTCCCGCCCCTCCACCAATGCACAAGAACAGCAGTTCCCCCGACGCATCAGCACTGGAAGGGTTAACTATCACATATGAATAGATAGGGGTGAAGTGTCATCCAGTTACAGTGTTGGTTTGTGTTTCCACAATGATTAGACAAGTTAGGGTGTTTCCAGGCTCTTCTCTGACATTTTAAAATGAACTTTCAAAACTAACACAAAATAATGGATCTTATGATGAGACTTCATACATATATGTCATTGATTCTCCCTCCTACATATCGGTCTCCCACCCCTACCCCATCAGTTGCTTGTCCCCTTCCTGCCCTTAAACAACTCTCCTTCTGCCTCCTCTGTCCCCTCTTCCTCTCTCTCTTTTGATCTCCCTCCATATGTATGTGTATATATGTATATACAAATTTGCATAAATACCACATGTAAGAGAAAATGTGAAATATTTCCCCAATATTGTCACATCTCTTAGAAAAATGTTTGTGCAAATCCTTTGCTTCTTTTTTCTTTGATCTGAGAATTACTAATTTTCTTTCAGGGATTCTTCATATATTATACAAATTAATTCTTTTTTGAGAGGATTTGCAAGACATTCTGTGGGTTGACGTCTTGCTCTGTTGGTAACATTCAATAACTGGAAACTGATTTTAAATTTTCATGCATAACCTCAGTTACATTATCAATCTTAATTGTGTATTTTGTGTCATATGTTAGAAACCATTTCCAAAGAAAGATTTATGTTTGTTGTTTTTAAGTGTGTATATGTATTGTGTTGATGGACATGTTCTGTGTGGTGAGTTCATGATTATACACAGATTTGTAAAACCTCCTCAAACTCTACATTTGAAATAGGCACTTTTTATTATCTGTAGAATGGTAATAGAAAGAGAAGGAGTGGAATAAGCAGAAGGCAGATGTTTTGTGGTGTCTTGCTGCAAGAGATGCTGAGAAATGAGCCAATAACTGAAGGAAAAATGGAGACCAAGGGTATGTGTGTTTGTGTGTGTGCACGTGAGTTCCTGTGTGTGTGTGCTCAGGTATGTGTGCCCAAGTATGTGTGTGCATTGTTACAGAGAGAGGACCTTTGTAGAACAGAGGAAGGGTTGCATGTGTGTGGATTATTCTGGAAGGAGGGGGATTTCTCTGTGTGCCTCCAGACACCTGACCAGGGTCAATAGAGGAAATTACAAGGTGTATCGGGGTTCAGTACGAAAGTGTTTTTTTTTTTTTCTTTTTTTAGTGAGTAGAATTCTTTCCTTCTCAGGGTGTGTATGGGTTGTAACATCTTTGTCACTAGGAATAAGAAGATTGTTATGGAGGGGAGTTTCAGACTCAAATAAGAAAGGAAAGAAGAGAGGGAGGGAGGGAAGGAAGGAGGGAGGGAGGGAGGGAAGGAAGGAGCGAAGGAGGGAGGGAGGGAGGGAGGGAAGGCTAGTGGGCAGGCAGGCTGGTTTATGCGGGACCACACTTACTTGGGTACATGCCTGATGTTTTCTATTTTTTTCTCAGATGCTGGTGCACCTGTCTATTTTTATGAGTTTCAGCACCGACCCCAGTGCTTTGAAAACACAAGGCCAGCCTTTGTGAAGGCTGACCACACAGATGAAGTCCGCTTTGTCTTTGGAGGTCCTTTTCTGAAGGGTGACATAGCCATGTTTGGTAAGTAACTAGCTGTGGGCTCCTCCTGCAGGCACATGGTCAGTTGAGAAGAGTCAATTCCCCACTGCGTACATAAAACTCTGCTCGGCCGTTCACTATACACGAGTCAGTAAGGACTTGCTGGCTGGGATTTAATCACCTGAGGAGTTTACAAGCACACGCATCACACACACACACACACACACACACACACACACACACACACACACTGAAAACTTACAAGCAAATTACACATGGGAAATACCAGTAAAACATTTAGGTTAAATCACCATGTAATGGAGGTTCTTCACTAATTCAACCTGGCCTGTGACACAGAATAAAACTGTTAGTGAGTTTGTGGGCCGTGGTTTAGTCTTTTATTTCTCTAGCCATCCTTATCTTAGAGATAACAAGGTAGATGCTGCTAAGCTTTTTATAAGATTGAAACTAATCGTCATAGAGCAAACCAAGAGTGCTTAATACAGGAAGCTCACACACCTGCCTGGTAATGAAAGGCCTCTCCAACTAGGAAACAGGGACAGCCTTAGGGCTAGGGAGGTAAATGCCTTGAAAACTAGTCTCTAAAGTCTATAGAAAAGAGCAAGCTAATAAAAACTTAAACAACTTATGGAAAAGTAGATGTGTAGGTTGCCTTTGATGTATGCAACCCTCTCAATTTTAGTTACAGCATAAGAACAGGAGACTACCCTTGACGGCTGAATCATTCTTTCTTAAGTCAGTCTGTGTTTGGAAGAACGGTACATTGAAGTGGTGTATTAGAGCAGGGATGGGAAACAATTTCACTAGAATATTGGATACTCATACTAGGTTTAATGCAACCTTAAATCCAATTGCATATATGTATGTTTGAATGCATATATTATGATTTTATAGAACAACACTTGTCAGATTTACAAATGACCATGTAGAACTATAGTAACTAGTAGATACTATTCCCAGATACAACCTCTATAGAAAGAACAAGATACAAGTATGTACCCACCCACGAGCAAATGTGTAGAGAAGGGCCGGCCTGCACACGGCACAGGTGGAGCCCGTCTTCCTGGGTGTATCAAAGACATCAGAAATGATGCTTGCTTTTGGGTAGGCAGCTAAGTACCTGCAGAGAAGCGATGAGATTTCCCTGGCCTTTGTCCTGTGCTAGGTTTGCAAGTGAGGTCAAAGTGATTTGAGGGTTTGCTGATGCTATAAGCAAATGACATTGTTTTATAGAAAGACTGCAGCATCTCTGGAATTGGTTTTTGTTAGGGGCATCTTGGAATCAATCTTATCAGATAGCAGTGGTTGACTGTAGTTAATGAGAGAGAGAGAGAGAGAGAGAGAGAGAGAGAGAGAGAGAGAGAGAGACAGACACACATAGAAAGAGAGAGAGAGGGAGGGAGTGAGGGACGGGGAGAGAGAGAGAGAGAGAGAGAGAGAGAGGAGAAGGAGGGAGGAAGGGGGAGAGAGAGAAAGAGAGACAGACAGACACACATACAGAAAGAGAGGGGGGAGGGAGGGAGAGAGTAAGTAAGGGAGGAAAGGAGAGAGAGAGAGAATGAATATCCCAAGAATCCTGCATTCAAATAGGAATAGCTAGAGTGAGGTCCAGTGAGGAAGGTATGTTCAGCTTGCATTATTTGGAAGCCAGGATTTCTTGGATGATGCCTCAGCTGCATATGGGAGCTAGGACTTATTTGTAAGGATTCAGAGAGGGGCCAAGTTAGGAACAGCCTCACCGAATGGGAGGAGCCTCAGGCCCAGGTGAAGCTGGTGAGCAGCTGGATTTGTGTTCATCTGCAGAGAAAGCCACTGAGGAAGAGAAGTCGCTAAGCAGGAAGATGATGAAATACTGGGCTAACTTCGCCAGGAGCGGGTGAGTGAGCCGGCTGGCCTCCTTGCAGTCAGGCGTCTGAGGCTGACCACCTCATCGGAGTCTGCTCTCATTTCAGGGATCCTAACGGGGCCGGCCTGCCTCCGTGGCCAATCTACGACCAGGACGAGCAGTACCTGAAGTTGGATTTGAACATGAGTGTCGGACAGAGACTGAAAGATCAGAGAGTGGATTTTTGGACGGATACCCTCCCCCTTATCATGTCTGCTTCAGAAGCACTGCCCAGTCCCGCTTCCCCCTTAATCCTCTTTTCTCTACCTCTGCCTTTCCTTTTCTCTGTCGCTCTTTAGAAGTCATCACTGTGTGGTTCTGAATTTTTTTCCTCCTTCTAAGTTTCCCCATTAACCATTATCCTCATTCCCAGTTGAGCTGCTTTCTGTGGGAATCTCTGTTCACTAATCTGCTTTAGCTGCTGTTTTATGGGCTTAGGGCTGAACCTCATGAAATTCTTTTCAATGACTAAAAATTCAATTTGTCTTAGAAGGTAATGAGATTTTCTCAATGAGTCTGAAGGAGGCCTGGCCCATCCCTCGCCATATAATGATCCTGTTACTCACATGAAATAAAATCAGAATGCAAAATATATGCAAAATATATAACAGAATTTAATTTGTGCGGATAAATCCCCGCCTTCCCACACCACTCAAGATACAGATGCTGAATAAAATGGGAGTCTCTTAACCTCACTGCAGCAGAGCTTTTAGTGTGAGCCAAGTCCTGGGCACTTCTGGCTTTGAGCTAAGTCTTAGTGAGATGTGTGGGAGGGGGTCATGCTGGAAAGTGTTCTTCTCTGACGTCATCCAAGGTCCAGGGAATTAGAGGTCTAAAACCAGAGAGCAAAGGTCAGGCAGGAATGAGGAGAAATGAGGCTTTGCAGATGGAGTTAAGATGATTTTGTGATTCGCCAAGCTATGCCAAGTGTATTACATATACCAGACATGTCTCTAAGTGTATCATATATACCAGACATGTCTCTAAGTGTATCATATATACCAGACATGTCTCCAAGTATATTACATATACCAGACATGTTTCCAAGTGTGTTACATATACCAGACATGTCTCTAAGTGTATCACATATACCAGACATGTCTCTAAGTGTATCACATATACCAGACATGTCTCCAAGTGTATTACATGTACCAGACATGTCTCTAAGTGTATCACATATACCAGACATGTCTCTAAGTGTATCACATATACCAGACATGTCTCTAGGTGTATTACATATACCAGACATGTCTCTAAGTATATCACATATACCAGACATGTCTCCAAGTGTATTACATATACCAGACATGTCTCCAAGTGTATCACATATACCAGACATGTCTCTAAGTGTATCACATATACCAGACATGTCTCTAGGTGTATTACATATACCAGACATGTCTCTAAGTGTATCACATATACCAGACATGTCTCTAAGTGTATCACATATACCAGACATGTCTCTAGGTGTATTACATATACCAGACATGTCTCCAAGTGTATCACATATACCAGACATGTCTCTAGGTGTATTACATATACCAGACATGTCTCCAAGTGTATCACATATACCAGACATGTCTCCAAGTGTATTACATATACCAGACATGTCTCCAAGTATATCACATATACCAGACATGTCTCCAAGTGTATCACATATACCAGACATGTCCCCAAGGGATCCTGTAGTGAACAAATGGCACGCAAGAAGGTATTGGGAAAGAGCCACACCTCTGAATATCTTACGGTGTAAGTTTGTTGAGTGCTACTTGGGAGTGGCAAGGTGTTTTAAGATTTAGCCGAGAGAGAACTTGATTTAGAGTGAGGCCTTAGGCTTTCTCCGGAGAGCTTATATTTACACTAGAAAGGATGGAATCAGCTTAGCCACCTGGTAGGTGGGTGTGTGTTCTACTCCCCACTATTCAGAAAAGGAAGATGACAGTCTTACCTTTTATATCCATACTGTACCTGTGTAACGTGCCACAGTTACTGTTGTGACTGTTTCAGGATTACACATGAGGTGCAAAGAGGAAGTGGGTTTCTGAGATGCCAGGAACTTCGAGCTTATTTGGCTCAGACATCTCCCACCGACAGACTAATTCTGATGGCCCAGAAGTGTTTTCTTCGGTACACACACACACACACACACACACACACACACACACACACACACATGATTTGCAATTAGTAGTGGGCTAATTAGCAGAGGAACTTCATATTAAAAGCCATATTCCCAACTTCCCTAGAAAATAAAAACAAACTCTGGGATCAACAAGGTTCTGTCCTCATATGTTGGGAACCCATGGACCTCTTTAGTTCATGCTGAAAGATACACCTTCCCCGAGACTGTCTGGAAACATCTTCCAGAAAACTACCAGGTTTCTCCACAGTAAGGCCCTTTCCGCCGAGGTGCGTACTCTATGAACATCCAACATTGTGGGCTAGCTCTAGCTCAGGTGGTTTTGGAAAAGATACCTGGGTCACTCTCTGGTTCTAGGAAGAGGTCATGCCATTTTCAAGGGAGTTGGAAAATTCCATAACCACTGCATCTGTAGAGAGCTCTTTCCTGTGTTGATATTTGGAAGAGCTATCAGTTTTAAAGCACTTATTCAAAACAAAAATGTTACATAGTTGGGGGAGTGGTGCTTGGCTTTCAAGCATGAGCAGCAGGATCGACATACAGATGCTGGGTGTGGTGGTGAGCACCCTATCCCCGTGCCGGGGAAGTGGAGCGTGGCGGATCCCTGGCTCACTGGCCAACCAATCCATCCTTGCTGGGGAGCTTCCGGCAAGCGAGAGACCCTGTCTTAGAGGAGGCGGGCTCCGTTTCTGAGGACGACACCTGACATTGTCCTTTGCATTCCACACACGTACACACGTGAATACACACGTGCAGAACTCATGCATTAAACCACTATTACATTAAATGGTAAGTGTGCTTCATTTACATGGCCCAGGTCCAACATCCTCAAATAGGGTTCTAATTCTGGCAGGTGTCTTTCTAGTCACATTTCCATGTCGCCCAGATGCAGAGCCCTATTCCGTCCTGTTCACATGCAATCTTATGTATTGCGGAGTGGAAGCTGATATATAAGTGAAAGTTGGGGTTGTTTGTTTTCTATTGACTGTGGCTCCCCTCTTGGGAGTGTAGAGGGATCATTTGGGTGAATATTCTGGTATCCAGTGGCTGGCCAGTCTCCAGCCACATGAAGTACAAGTTTGCACGGGCCTGGCCATCTGTATTTTCAGTTCACAAACATCCGATGCTCACTGTGATTAAGAAGCACTGAGTCCGTCCTCAGTCTATGTAGACTTTCTCAGTTGCTATCACCTCCCCAGAAATCTGTCTTAATGTCCTCACGTGGATGAATATAGGTCCGTTTTAAATTTTTTGGTGTTTTGAGACGCGTTTCATGTAGCCTAGTCTGGCCTTGAACTCAACACGTAGCTGAGAGTGACGTTGGATTCCTACCCCTCTTGCCCCTACTACGCAAGTGCTGGGGTTGTAGGTCCGTGCCTCCACACCTGGCTTTAGAAACGTCTCTTCAGGACCTATTTTGGTAATGACTGTTTTTATTTTAAATCGTTGTTTATGGAATCAGGATTTTAAGAACATGGGTGGGCGTAAGCCAGACGTTTTCAGCTTACTCTTTGTCAGCCACGGAAGTCCACTGTCCTCAAGAGCCACACCACTTCCTCCTCATAAGCGATACAAGAACGTAGTATATACCCACCATCTATGCTTTTCTCCCATTATACAAGTCTCAAATATGCACTAACTTTCTTATTTTGAAACAAATAATTTGTTTTCTTTTTACTCGGAAGGATTTTTAGCTCCTCCACTCCCAATCTCGGACCCCTTTCACTAAACCAAATCAACATCAAATTTAGGACGGGAACACCGGTCTTTGCGTGTGAATTTCGCAGTGTCCACAAGATGGCAGCACGACAACACGGGAAAGGCGCTTTCTCCTACGGGCGGCTCCTGGCGGGTGGTTGCAATTCTAGGATGGAACACAAGCATCCCGAACAGATAACTAGAAAGAACAACATTAACGTCTTTCGTTTTCTCTGTAGTGTTTAGCATGGGAAGCGGTGTATTCCATGACAGGAAAGGCTAGACTCAAGGGCAGAACAGAGGTTGAACAAGGTCTGAAGTGTTTTTGTGTTTGCGCTTTCCTGAGATGTTCCTAAAGACAGAGCCTCCGAAAGACAGAGCCTCAGGTGAGGCCAACCTTCCTTCCAGACTGGACTTTACTTCTGTTCTCTGAAGGGCCTTCAGACTGTGTGTGGATTATTTGCTCAACTCAGAAGCCCAGTTCTCCTCTCTCAGCCTCTGGCCTGAGATGCATGTCACGTTCAGTCTTTCTCAGAGGTGGGGGAGAGTAGGAATTGTGCTCACCTGACCTGGTGCTTCTCCAGACATCTTTCTCACGGTTGAGGGGGAGACTGTTTGTTTATAACCTTTGTCCTCAGCTAAAGTTGTTTTAAGTGTGCCTCATTTGTTCCCTGGGAAGGAAAGGGCAGGAAAAACAGAAAACAGAATAGAACAAAACAAAACAAAAACCCAAAAACCCAATCTACTTTGCTATTTGAGTGCTGGCTTGAATGGATTGGAACTCGAGGATAAAGGGTGTCCAGGAAGGGGACAGGCCAGGAAAGGCATTGTGGGAGCTCCGTGGCAAGCATGCAGGGTGATGTAGGGGCTGACCAGGAGAGAAAGTGCTTTTGATAGTGAAGTTGATACAGTATGCGTGAGGACCTGTGGGGACAGTGTTCGTGGCCTGATCTGCAGGAAATATGTCAAACAAAGAAACAAAACACAAAAACAACAAACCAAAACCCAGAGAGTCATGCTAGTCCATCCTCTGCTGCTGTAATAACATACTTGAGGTTGAGAGGTTCGCAAAGATAAACAGCTTATAGAATCCATAGTCATGGGTTCAGAAGCACAGTGTTGTTATCTGCCTGGCTTTGGGGAGGACTTCAGCAAAGATAGTGCTGCAATGGTGGGGCATAGTTAGAAGAGAGTGGCAGGAGAGCTAGGGCCAGCTACAAACAACTACAATCAACCATCCTGTCCCTCAACATCTGGTAAACACCACTGCTGAACGAATCAGAGAGTGGAACACGCTTGTCCAATATGCTGTTCCCAAGGTGGACAACATTCCAGAGAGGAGCCTTGCTTTGCATAAGCTGTGACCGTCATCCCTTCTTGATGATCGTTCCGAGCAGTGTTCCTCCATGTCCTCTGCTTTAGTTCCTGCCTCTAGATTTGTGCCTTGAGTTCCTGGCTTGACTTCCCTAAGTGACAGACTGTGCCCTGGGGGCTATGAGTGGAAATAAACCCTTTCCTCCCCAAGCTGCTTTGAGTCATGGTGTTTATCACATCAATACCAGTTCCAGAGTGTACAGCACAGAATCTAGAACCTGGGAAGTGTACATAAAATAGAGCATCTGGCCAAGGCTCTGGCAGCACATGTTCACTGAAGCCCCGGGAGATGCCTGCAGTGACTGTCATCCTTGACCAATC